GCTGGCCCAGCCAAAGATAAAGGCTGCTGTAGAAGTGGCCGCCATCGCCGTGAAAGAACAATACGGCATCCACGGAATAGGATCTGCCCACGTTAATCGGGGCGAAATACGCGCCAGATAGCACAATCCCCTCGGGTGTAGTAACTTCGACCAGGTCCGCAAGCATCTCGCCTCCTTTTCTGTCCAACGCCATTCGCAGTTTGGTTTAGAAACAGTGTGAAAAAAGGAACCACTGTTCCTAGTTTATCCCATAGGTGAACGAGCACACGAGGTCTCCTTATCCAGGAAGTTGACACGCTCGCAAAGGAGTGAACCCATCGCCATCGTATAGACCTGCACTCGTCCTACATGCTGAACGCCTACATACCAGTTGCTACCAACATTTGGGCAAGTCAGTCTTGGTCTGCTACCCGACTGTTGGTCCAGATGGGATTGTGACGGCCAAGTTGCTCTCGGGATGCCCTCCCCGCGCTCGGACGATCTGATGCAAATTAATATCTGCCTCTCTTGCATCGGCCAGTTCTGCCTTCTCACGATTCCTGTAGACCCGAATAAAACACTCTTGTACAGATACTTGGGGACACTTGAGATGCTAATTCTTACAGAGTCAATGATTGGAGATGATTGGATATACCAACGGCGAAACTGCCCGTCTTGTCTAATATGAAGGGACGGGCGGGCAATCGTGCGGCTACGAACAGCTTGCTGCCATAATGGCAGGCAACTCGAAGTGTGTCAAAAAGGGAGTTGACCTTCTCCTACACAAAGTCCCATTCCCATAACAATGGAAAAGGCTGTCAGTGACTTCAAAGGAGGTGTGGTGTCTATCTGACCTGCTTCGATAGTTTGCACTACAACAATGCTATAGACCGTTTCGAATGAAATCCGCCACGCGCTCTCCGATCATCATCGTTGTAACGTTTGTATTCGCACGAACGCAGTCGGGCATTATAGAGGCATCGGCCACGCGAAGCCCCTCTATCCCATGAACCCTTCCATACTGATCCACCACGGCCATCGGGTCAGACGCCGGTCCCATCTTGCAGGTGCCGACCAGGTGCATCCCTGTCGTCACCTTACGCATCATCCAATCGTCCAGCGCGTCGTCGGATTCCAGATCATTGTCGGTGGGATCTGTGCGCTCAGCCAGGATGTCGCTGAAGGCGTCGTGCTGGGCAATCTCGATACATCTTCGGACGCTCTCCCGGCAACGCTCCCGGTCAAAGGCATCTTCGAGGAAACGAAAATCCACAGAAGGCTGAACGCCCGGATCGGCGGAGACGACCTTAAGTTCCCCAGCGCTTCGCGCAAGCCCAAGCATCACCAGCATGCTCACGCCTGAGGCCTCCGAAGGGTTGTCTGTGTTGCTAATGGGTCTGGTCCCGAACATGATTATCAGCATGTCGTTACGAAGGTCTGAGTTCAAGGCCGTGTAACGTAATGCGACCTGGATTCCAGGGGCACCCATGTCTTGTCTAAATCCCTCCTTAGTTCGCCAAGACACATACAGCTCCGGGTGATCCCGAAGATTCTTTCCAACTCCTGGCAAGTCGCTCCGCACTGGAATGCCTACATCCCGCAATTGGTTAGCCGGACCTATACCTGACAGCATCAGTTGATGCGGTGACCCAACTGCGCCTGAGCACAATATGATCTCCTCTGCCTCAACTGCGAAGGTCTCACCGCCGCTCTCCACGACTACCCCAGTGGCCCGTGTGCCGTCGAAAACAATGCGCCGCACCGTGGAGTTTGGCCTGATGGTCAGGTTCAATCGATGCCTAGCCTGGTTTAGGTAGCCCAGAGCGGTGCTCATTCGGATGCGGTCGGGATTGTTGAAAGGCAGCGGACCGACGCCCGTGCCATCCGGATGGTTGTGGTCCGGGTTGTCGGCGTATCCTCCGTCCCTGCATGCATTGTAGAATGCTTCCTGGACCGGTAGCCACTCTTGGCGCTTAAAACGGCGAGCGACGATAGGGCCATCACTGCCGTGAAAATCGTCGTGGAAGTCCGTGTCGGCCTCCAACTTTCTGAAGTATGGGAGGAGCTGTTCGAAACTCCACCTGTCGTTTCCCAGAGTACTCCACGAGTCGTAATCCTCCGGCATGCCACGCAAGAATACCTGGCCGTTTATCGCGCTGGTCCCACCTACGACCCTGCCCGCCGGAACGGCCACCGGCTCCGACTTATTGGTAACCTTGCCTACATAATCTCTGTCATGGGTCCCTCCAACGGCCGCATTCGCAGTGAAGCCAAAACGAGTGCCGTAGCCGAACTTTAGCTCGTCTGGAAGTTGGTTGAAATCCGGATAGTCGGGACCCTCTTCCAAAAGCAGTACCGAACGTCCGGCATCTTCGGATAAGCGTGTTGCTATAACAGCACCAGCGGACCCCGCTCCAATGACAATCGTGTCATACTTCATCTTGATTCCTCAATTCAAAGTCGCCATTTCCGATGTCAGTTTCGGGAGTCCGTATAACCCATAATTCACAATGTCCGCAATGATACCATAATGACATTGTTGTGCTCTTTGGTACTTGCAGTATGGTCGCACCGATGAGGAGAGCTAATGCTAGTTTAGGACTGCAGCCCAGATGTTGCTTACACAAATCAAGTATTGCGATGTCGGTAGATGGCCGCAACAAAAAATTCGTACTTCTGGTGCATCTGCGGCGTTTCCGAACTCGCTGTCTGGGGCTACGGCAGTTTCCGCAGCGAGTGCGCTCCCTTCTACTCCGCAATCTATCTTGCTTTACTATCAAGTTTTCAGTAGTTTTGTTTCATGTCAGATGCTTCGGCGCCTATACAGGACTCGGCACAATTGACGACTGCTGTCTCCGGTCAGCGTGCGGCGACGCAGACAGCAGCAAATGCACACAGGGTACGCATCCCTGTGCGCGTTCCTCGGGGTCCGCGGCTGAACACCTTCGACTCACTCTCCAACCGTAACTTCCTCTTTCTGTGGATCGGGATGCTGTTCCTCATGGCGGGGGCGCAGATGCAGATGCTGGCTCAGAGCTACCTCGTATATGACCTCACAGGCTCAGCCTCGGTTCTCGGCATCATAAACCTGGGCATAGCGGTCCCTATGCTACCATTCCTCTCTTCGGCGGCGTGGTCGCTGACAGGTTCGAGAAGAAGACGATCATACAGGTGGCACAACTCGTCGCCGGCTCTCTGGCTCTGCTGACCGGCCTCGCAATCGATTTCGAAGTCATAGCCTGGCAGCATCTTCTCATCTCATCTATGGTAACGGGTGGGCTGTGGGCGTTTCATGATGCCTGCGAGACAGGCCATCATCCCCCAGATTGTTGGGCCGGAGAAGATAACTAATGCTATGGCGCTGAACGCGGCAGGCATGAGCGCAACTACGATGGCCGCGCCGGCGCTGGCAGGAGGCATTTACGCCTTGGTTGGACCATGGAACGTGTTCTATCTCATAGGTGCGTTAACCTTGGCATCGGTCGTCCTGACCACATTTATACCCAAGACAGGTTCGGCGGGGACAAGTTCAGAGAGGACAAATGTGCTCCGCGACATCGCCGATGGCATTTCCCACATGTGGCAGCGCCGAATTCTCTTCGTACTGCTGCTGATGGGACTGGCTGCGACCATGCTTGCGATGCCCTTCCGGTTTATCCTGCCGGTGTTCGTCGTTGACATCTACCGCCAGGGGCCTGACTCGATGGGTCTGCTCGTCGGTCTAATGGGAATGGGTTCACTGTTCGGCTCACTTTACGTCGCGTCCATGGGCCAGCGCTATAGGGGCATGGGCTTGATAATCGCGTCGATGATGTCCGGTATCGGCCTGGTATTGATTGCCGCCCATACCCGTGTACAATGTCGCCGCCGTGATAATGGTGCTGCTGGGCGTAGGTGACTCAGGACGTCAGGCACTTAACCAGACGCTGATAATCGAAAAGGCAAGTCCCGAATATCGCGGAAGAATTATGAGCCTGTTCATGCTCAACTATGGCCTGATGCCACTCAGCATCATGCCCGCAGGCTTCCTCACTGACTACCTTGGTGGGCAGACGGTCATCGGATTCATGGGCTTGGCGCTCATTGCGGTCATGATTTTCGTGCTGCTGACCCAGGGACGGCTAAGACGCCTGTCTTAGATTTTGTGCTCCATTTTCCGACAATATTGGGACGACCTAGAACAGTGCCAGCTAAAAATCCTTGAGGAAGCAGAGTACCTATGCCCCACAGCAAGAGAGACAGATTAGGAATCGGTCTAAGGAATGGCTGAAGTCCCGCGAGGCAATTCGAGGGTTTCAACGTGTTCGAGTCGCTGAAACTCCTCGATGGTCAGTTCTGTAGCTCAGACCGGTTACGACATGGTGCTTGTCGAGACCGAGCACATCCTTTTCAAAACTGAAGCCTTCACCAATTTCTTGGTTATGGCTCGTCACGCCGGTCCTCCCCAAATCGTGACAATCCCAGAGGTGTCCCGGATCATGGATGGAACACCATTTACGTCGGCAAAGCTTGCTGGCACTCGGATACACGTGGCGATTTCCCAGGCCCCACTGGATGGCGAAGTGAATGCAAGAAAATACATACATCTGCTGCAAAGGTTGGTATGAAGAGGTGTCATCAAGGTTCGCGCTCTGGTTCAAGAGCAGAACTTGAAGCGAGCAAGTAATGCTGGTGGAGAATTGTCTGCCCAAATGGAGCTGTGATGTTGGTGTGCTGTACGGGGCAGTAGAGCACTAGTGCGCTCGTTCAAGTTTTTGGTAACTTTGGCAACGGCGCACCTCGATTCGATTATCAAGGGCTTACGAACACGACCGCGTGATGCATGCTATTAGAGGAATGTAGTGCTCGTCGCATTCAGGAGGAAGATGCTAACACTCTCGAACCCGATTTTTACGGACCAGGAACATCGGCAACCTGACAAGGTGTCTAAAGTCGCAAACAGCCTTTAGATTCTAACACAATTGCTGGCCCTGAATGAGCGCAGTTCGCCTCAGCGCAATCCATCTCGAGGCTGTCATATGTCACGACCCGGGCTCCTCAATCGCCACTACCTGATCAGCCGGGACATCTTCGATCACCTGAATCCTTCCGCTCGGCCACCGCACCTCAATCTCATCCACCATCACAGCAGTTCCGATACCGAACTCCAACGCAATGCTGTCCATAGACAGGTAGCTCGATCCTGCGCGCACCTCCTGAACCTGCGTGCGCCCTCCCGCATTCAAATGCACCCGCGCACCCACGGCGTCCGCGTTACTGCCCGTGCCATCTACTCCCATACGCCCTTTAAGTACGAGCGTTACCCAATGGTTCTCGCCACCTCCGTTCATCCACACGAACACCGGCCCCATTTTCCGGCACGAACTCGTTCTTCAGCGCATCCCACCTCGGCCCGCTGCTGTTAGTGCCAATCAGGTCAAGGTAGCCGTCCCCGTTCAGGTCGCCGTGCGCCAGCCCTTTGCCATTCAGGTGAAACCTATTGCTGATTCGCTGAGCGTCAGCATTGAACTTCGGCGAGTCAATATCAAGCACAGAGTAGTCGACATCACGTATATCCAGCAGGCGCGCCCGCACCGTGATGTCCTCAAAGCCACCCTCACCATCTCCCTTTAGCATTCGACCCGCCGCTGGAAACGACGAGTTCCCCGGCGGCCCTTCAGAACCGAGCCAATACAAGTCCTGATTGCCGTCATTGTCGTAGTCGAAGAAAGTCGCGCCATACCCGAAGTCATAAGCGCCTAGACCTGTAGGAACATCCCAGTCGGGGTGAATCCGCTTCTTGTCCAGCGAGCGCGGCGGCATCAGTGGGCTTGGCTTCACCTCGGTCTCAGCCACGACATTCGGGAATAGCCCTACTTCGCCTACGTCCGGCGCGCTCCGTGTTCCATCGTTCCGCAGCAGGTAATGCAGGCATGTTCCCCACTCGAAGCGTTCAGTGTACTTGCAGTCGCCTCCTGGCTCCATCTGCGGAGCGAAAAGACGCAGGTGATAGCCCACATTCGGAATGAACACATCCAAGTCCTCGTCGCCGTCGTAGTCCCCTACCGCGAAGCCCATCCAATTTCCCGACTTGTCTATACCCATTGCCTCCGCAACGGGCGTGAAGCGCACATCCCCAGCGCAGAGTCATTGCGGAACACATAAGGATGATGCCCATCATTCGCCGCCCACAAGTCCTGGTCCCCGTCGTCGTCATAGTCGAAGAACAGCACCGCGTGTGTGCGCCCCAGACGGGTCCGCGACACGCGATTTCCGTTGGCGTCCAAGATGTTCGGATCGTAACCCTCGTATTCAACGCCCGTCTCTGGGTCCTTGAAGGTAATCGGCGCGCCATCCTCGTACCGCAGCCTTATCTCATCGCCATTCACACCCGCCGACTCCGAAATTTCCGCGAAGGTCATGTCACCGTTGTTATAGTACAGCCGGTTATAATGCCCCGGATGTGACGCCTGATCGAACATGAACCAGTCCTCATCCACCGCGTTGCCCACATATATGTCCAGCCAGCCGTCGCCATCCACATCCGCGCACGCGATGCTCGACGCTGAACGCAGATTCGCGTACTCACCAAATGCCGACTCCGTGATGTCGCTGAATGTCCCGTCGCCATTGTTTAGCAGTAGGTGATCCTGTATCGCCGACCTGAGCCGGGTCGCTTCCTCGTCATCGCCCGTCGCCGATCTGAAGTCCAGTCCGTCGCCAATGATGCCCCGCGAGCCAACATAGAGTTCTTGATATCCGTCATTGTTCAGATCGCACGCAACAGCACCGCTACCATTGCTCGCCGCAAGAGCAGCGCCTGCGTCCTCAGCCATGTTCTTGAAGCTCCCATCCCCTTCATTGCGATACAGCAGGTTGCCATGCCCGGCGTTCGATGTGATGTACAGGTCGCTGTCTCCGTCACGGTCGTAGTCGAATACCACGACCGCTGGACGATAGTTGCTCACCTCATAGCCGTCCTTCAGCGCTTCAGGCGCAACGTTGGTGAACGGGGTTATTCGAGTTGCTTCCTCTTCCACACGCTTCGCACCCTCCTGCAACTTCGACGCCGGATTAGGAGCGACTACAGCAGAGGATACGGAGGTAGGAGTGGAAAGGGCGACAGGTGATGACTGTACAGTAGTCGGCGCAGGTTCTTGCGAACAAGCCATAAGGGAAACCATCGCCAGAATAAAAAGCGCAGAGTAGGCAGCCTTTGTTCCTCTCAGCGTCAACCGAACCACAGCAGCCCCCTCCTTACGCCAGCAGCTACAGTCCCTCTGCTGAGCTAGATGCCGGCACGCTAAAGCTGCCTCAACCGCGGGTCCAGCTTGTCACGCAACCAGTCGCCGAAGAAGTTCATCGAGAACACTATCAGCAAGATGGCAAACCCAGGGAAGAAGGAAATCCACCATGCTGTAGAAATATACTGACGCCCCTCGGACACCATACTGCCCCACGATGGCTGCGGCGGCGGTATCCCAACCCCTAGGAAACTGAGCACCGACTCCGTGAGTATCAAGGAACCTACCTGCAGGGACGACAGCACCATAACTGTGTTCACGACGCCCGGCAGGATGTGCCTCACGGTGATGCGAAAGCCAGACGCGCCCGCAACCCTCGCCAGCGCAACATAGTCCATCGTCTTAAGTTGAAGCGACTCCGCCCTCACCTGACGCGCGAACGGCGCCCATGTGAACAGAGACAGCAGGATTATCACGAGTTCCAAGCTCGCCCCCCAGACGACCGACGCCACCAGAGCGACAACTATGAATGGCAGCGCAAACACGAAGTCAACCAGCCGCATCAGCACCTCGTCAACTATGCCGCCCATGTATCCCGCTATCAAACCTACAAGCGTTCCTAGCGCAGCTCCCGCAATCAGCACCGTCACGGCAACGATTAGGGACACGCGCGCTCCGAAAATAATGCGGCTCAGTACGTCTCGTCCAATATGGTCTGTACCCAACAGGAATTGGAACTGCCCTCCTCGGCCCATGCGGGAGGTTCATTCCTGTCGTAGGTGTCCCCCGCAAGTGGATCATGAGGCGAGACGAGCTCGGCAAATATAGCCACCACGATCAGCGACAAGGCGATTGCGACCGGAATGACAGGCCACTGCCTGAACGACTGGAAGGCCCTGGTGATTCGACCGCCACCAGTCTCGAACTCGGCGATGTTGCCCCTGATTTGCTGCTCACTCATAGCGAATTCGTGGGTCCAGAATACCGTACAAAACATCTGCAAATAGGCTTGCCACTAGAAATATCACCCCGAACACCAGTGCAAGCCCGGTTACGAGCGGAAAGTCCGTATTCAGCGCCGCGTTGACCGCCATCCTGCCTATACCGGGCCACGCGAATACCGTCTCCACCACGACCGTTCCTGTCATAAATCCCGCAAGCAGTATCATTGCGAATGTCAACGGGGCGATAAGCGCGTTTCGGAAGGCATGCTTCCATATTATATTCAGTGAGCCAACTCCCTTCGCCTTGGCAAGCTTCACATACTCACTGTCCAGCACCTCCAACATCGACGAGCGCGTCAAGCGCAGCAGCCCAGCCGCCGGAAGCCACCCGAGGGTTGCTACCGGCAATACGAAGTGCGTCCAGTCGCCCCGCCTCGAGGTCGGCAACCAGTTAAGCTGCACGCTAAATATCAAGACCAGTACAATCGCAATCCAGAAAGGCGGCACCGACTGCCCCAGCAAGGCGAAACTTCGCCCGATGTAGTCCCAGACGGAACTCCGCCTCACTGCGGACAACACGCCCAGAGGCATGCCAAGCATCATGGCAAACAGAAATGAGACGCCCGATAGCTGTATAGTGGCAGGCAGTGCCTCTAGTATCATCTCCAGCGAGTTGCGCTGGTAATAGACCGAAGTGCCGAAGTCCCCACGAACCGCCTTGCCCACCCAGATGACATACTGCACGACCAGCGGCTTGTCCAATCCCATCGCCTTGCCCTGCGCCTCCCACGCCTCCGAGGTCGTCCTCGTGTACTGCGTCATGTACAGGTAGCGCGGGTCGCCCGTGGCGTGCGACAGGGAGAACACCAGTATGGTCAGCCCAAAAAGCGTGACCACTATTGCAGCCAGTTTCCGAAGGAATAGCCTTAGCATTTCACCCGCCGGCTCAAAAGGAAGAAGGATAGATTAACGCAATCACCCTCACCCCCATCAGCAAATTGGCACTGGGATGAGAGTGATTGGCATCAGTCTGCGCTCCCAGATCAGATGACATGTTCACGACCTGGGAGCGCAGAAATATTACTTGTCGATAACGACAGTTGCCGGATTGTTGAAGCTGCTGCCCCAGTACGGATGCCACTCCGTAACCTCCGGCAGATGCACCCAGAAGCTCTTCACTGTGGCGATGGCAGCGTTAATGTGCCAGTATGCCATGTAGTTCTGGAAGTAGATGCTGTTCTCGATTCGCTTCTTCTCAATCGGTTCGACGTCGTTCTGGTAATTCACATCGCAGACTACTGCCGGAAGCTCCGCGCCACCAAGGTGTCCCGGTGTCGGGCAGAAGAATGGCGCCTTTGTCCCGCCGGGCGGCATGCCCCAGCCGTGCAGCCACGGCACATCCATCTCTTCGTAACAGTCTCAGGCCTGCGGGAAGCATACGGCGACTTGTCGACGGTGACATCCAGGTTCAGATGCTCCCGCCACATCTCCGCTACAGCATCCGCAATCTCGGGGTCCCAAGTGTTGGGAACGCTCTCAGTTGCCCAGAATACAACAGGGAAGCCATCAGGATATCCCGCCTCAGTCAGATATTGCCTTGCCATCTCAGGATCGAACGGAACCGTCCACTCTTGCTGGAAATTCGAGTCTCCCGGCGGGAACTGCGTGTGCATTGCCGTGTAAGCCACATCGCTGAAGCCATCCAGAACATTGTCCACGATTGCCTGCCGATCTATCGCCATGGACATCGCCCAGCGAACCTTCCTCGGCCCTTCCATCTCCGGGCAGACCGATCCTGCAGGCGGCGGAACGGATGAGAACATCGCGTTATAGTCGCATCCCTCAGCAAAGGGATCGCCAATCCAAGGATGGTCGCCATCAGGCAGGAAGCCCGGCCTAGGCATCTTCAGCAGATCCATCTCTTCGCAATCGGGGCATATCTTTGCCCAGTAGTTGCCCGAGAAGTAAATGGTGTTGGGATTGGGCAAGCCCATAGGAACGGCGGTGCCGTTCGTATCTTCCACTATTCCCGCCACCTTCTTGACCGAAATCTGCGTGATGTCCACCTCTTTAGTACGCAGCGCCGCCTCCCTAGTGGCGTCTTCTGGCATCTCGAATATCCTAAGTGTCTTGATGTTCGGCACTATTCGCCAGTGGTCGATAAGCGCCTCGCCGTCTATTTCATCATTCCCAATCCACTTCCTCGCTACGAATGGGCCGGTCCCGATGGGAGTGGATATGAATTCGTTCTCGCCCAACTCCTCAAAGCAATGCTTGCAGGTCATTCCAAAGGTGGAGTCCCAGCCCAAACCACCATGCAAAGTCCCCCATGTAGGGCTGAACTCACCGGGCTTCACATTCATCTTGGCGGTGTACTCGTCTATGACTTCCCAGCCTGCTCTGTGACCCGGTGAAAGCTGCTCGCCCGCGTTGCTGACGGAGCCAAGCTTGAACGAGTTGTTGTATGTGAACACCACATCCTCGGCTTTCAGCTCGCCCCAGTCGTTATGCCACATGATACCCTGCGAATCTTAAGCGTGGCGCTGTTCATGTCGGGGGCTATCTCCCACGATTCGGCTATCTCAGGTTCGAACTCTTCCTGTGATGGAACGATACCAGGCTCAGTGAACTGCGCCCTGAAGATGCCCTCGAATACTTGGAAGTCCGTCCCTGGCCCGCCAACGGTGCCATTCGCGTCCTTTTCTTGCAGTTGCACGAGCGGATGTAGCAGCGGCACGCCGACTACCAACTCCCCTTCAGGCTGCTTAGATGGCGCGGCAGTAGCAGCGGGCGCAGTCGTTGGGGCGACAGCGGGGGCAGGAGCGGCGGCGGCTGTGGTTGCAGCCGGTGCGGGTGCAGGGGCAGGAGCCTCCGCCTCCGGTTCGGACTGGCTGCACATCCGAGCGCCAGCAGAAGCGCAGCGCCAGCGATAAAAGCCAGCAGTCGCGTTATTCTCACTCTTCTTACCAAATCAGACATTGAGCTTCTCCCTCCGTGCTCTGAACCATCCTATTTGCCATAACGATGACAGACTACCCACTCATCCTCAAAGTGTCAACATTCATTCAGGAAAAACAGAGTGTGAAACGATTTTCAGGAAACAGAATAACCGTAAACTTCATTTCTCGCATCACTTATTTGCCTAGCTCATAAATGTCCTAACGAGAGAGAACTCCATTTTCAGTTGTGATGCCCGCAGGTCGAATGCCTTCACGTCTCTTCTAGGTGATCTTGCACTGCTGAAAAATGCCGTAGGCGACCGTTTTTGCCATCATGCACAAACCGCTTGCGGTTCACTGTCTATTGGAGCTGGGATAAACACGCATCTTGAAGAAACATTATTCTTATAGTACTTGTCACCCAACAGAACATATGCCATGAGCAATAAGCCGCTCGTGGCGACCTGCACTGCCCGAATTGAAGCCCTGCTGAGAACGTAGTAGTGATAGCGAGATTGGCACCGTCCCGCACTTGACCGCCATGCCTGCAATTCCTACAATTACGTCAAATGCTACCATCCCCACGGGGCGTCTGGAGGGAATATGTCCGACTTTACTTTGAAAGTAGGCGCCGTTGAGATCGTCGCCCTTTCCGATATGAATTTCCCATTCCCAATCCCTCTGCCCGAATTGTTTTCAACAGTCCCTGAAGAAGCGTGGGCACCCCTACAGAGAGAACTACCCCGACACTTTCGATGGAGACCACATGCTCATTGAGATTGGGTGCTACTTGGTGCGCTCGCAGGGTCGGACGATCCTCATCGACACCGGGTACGGCGAAGGGCCATCGAGTCGATCGGAGGCCGACGGGGAGAGCTCATGGATGACTTGGCCGCCAAAGGCGTCACTCCTGAGGAGGTTGACACCGTCTTCATCTCCCATCTTCATTCCGACCATGTGGGCTGGAACGTGGTAGAGCAGGACGGCGCACTGGTTTTCCCGGCTTTCCCCAACGCCCGGTACATCGCTCATCAGGCTGATCTTGACCACTTCCGCAGGCCGGACATTCAGGCTGCCTCCAGTTTTCCTTTCATGGATAGGTGCGTGGAATCCATCGTCAACCTAGGGCTGTTCGACATGCTGACCGAAGACACAACCTGACTTCGGAGGTGAAGGCGCTGCACACTCCTGGTCATACGCCCGGCCACATGAGCATCCTGGTCTCCTCCCAGGGAGAAGAAGCCCTGATACAAGGGGACGTGCTGATTCACCCAGCGCAGGTGACCGAGGACGACTGGAACTGTCATTTCGATTACGACTGGCCCCTGTCGACCGAGACTCGCAGGAAGGTGTTGGACGATGTGGAATCCCAGGGACGCCGTAATATCCTGTCACTTCCCCGCTCCGGGATTCGGGACGGTCAGACGGAGAGAAGGCCGACGCTACTGGCAGGTTGGACTCGGGACACAAATAGAGGTGAAACATGGACACAGAAGCAATCAAAAGATTCTGGATAGCATCGACCGGGAGGAGATGCTCCGCCTCGCCGAGGACCTCATCAAGATCCCCAGCTACAAGACCGAGGAGAGCGACGCTGCCCGCTACCTTGGAGATTACTCGGCGCAAGGGGCTATGAGGTGCAGTTGCAAGAGGTGGAGCCGGACCGCTTCCAGACCGTCGCCACTCTGAGGGGTAGCGGCGGCGGCAAGTCGTTGATGCTCAACGGCCACATCGACATCGACCCGCTTGCCATGGGCTGGAAGCGAGACCCGTGGACGCCCAGCATTGAGGGCGACCTCATCTTCGGCGCTGGCATCCGCACATGAAGAGCGGCGTTCATCCTTAGTGACGGCGGCCGAGCCATACGGAAGTCCGGCGTAACGCTGAAGGGTGATCTGGTGCTTGCCTGCGTGGTTGGAGAACTGCAAGGCTGGTGTGGGCACGACCTACCTCTGTCAGAACGGCCCGCTCACCGACATGGCGGTGGTGCCGGAACCCTTCGGCGCGGACAACATCCTCACCGTCCACGCGGAGTGCTGGAGATGGCGGTACACGTTCTGGGCAACTCCCGGCACATCAGCCGCAAGGAAGAGGGAGTGGACGCCATCGCCAAGATGTGCAAGGCAGTGCCCGTCATTGACGGCGTGGAGTTCACCTACACTCCCAGAGAGGATCTCCCCGGCCTGCCACGGATAAACGTCGGCGCGATCATCGGAGGCCGCGGACGCGACTACGACATGCGCGGTCCCAACTTCGTTTCCGACTTTTGTACTGTACTGGTAGATGTCCGTTTCCTACCGGGCATGACTTCTGCATCGGTCAAGGAGGACATCGAGCGCGCTCTGGACCGCATCAAGGCCGACGACCTCGACTTCAACTACGAGATAGAAATGCCGCCCGACCCGAAGCATAGAGTGTTCAGAGTCATCATGGAGCCCTTCGATCTGCCTAAGGACGAGTACATCCTTGACTGCGTCCTGCGGCAGTACCGCACGGTGACTGGCGGACGTGAGCCCGACGGCGTAGGAACTGTGCTGCCCGGCTCCTACACCGGCGATGACACCACCCACCTGTGGCGGGCCGGAGTTCCATGCGTGCTATACGGCCCTGGCGGAGGCTCGGAATCGGAGAGCATACCTGACGAATTCAGCCGGATCAGCGATATGGAGCAGGTAGCGAAGGTCCTGGCACTCACCGCTCTGGACGTCTGCAGCCTCCCAAAGTGAGGCTACTGGTTGCGGCTGATTCGCCAAGGGTGATCATTTCCGGGCATTATCCGCATCAGTAAGAGAGCGACCTGACGAGCCGCGATCAATCGCCGTCTCTTGGTAGAAGACAATCGCATACACTGATCGGCATAGATAATTGTCATATCGACAAAAGAAGTAGTTGTTTCGTACCACGGCGTGTATGGCGTCAAATGCCCGTCGGCAAAGTGTGCTTAGGTCAGTGTACTGGATTGGCGTTCCGACTTGGTGTAAAGTGCAGAAAAAGGAGGGTCGCCATGCCTCTACAGCTAGACCACACAATCGTACCAGCCTACGACAAGGTGAAGTCCGCGAAGTTCATAGCCCGTATCTTTGGATTGGAATACGAAGGGACCTGGGGACATTTCGCCCCGGTCAAGGTCAACGACACGTTGACGCTCGACTTCGATAACTCGGATGACCCACGCTCCAACCACTACGCCTTTCTGGCTTCGGACGAAGAGTTCGATGCGGTGCTTGAGCGCGTCGAAGACGAGAGCATCCCCTTCGGGAGTGGCCCCGGCTCTCGGACGGATGGCAAGATCAACCACAAGCACAATGGACGCGGGTTCTACTTCGACTGCGAGAACGGACACGTGTGGGAGGTCATCACCCACACATATATCACCGATTAGTGCCATCGTATTGGCGTAAGAAGCGGTCTGTTAAGTCGCTGTGCCCGAGGTGGAAATGAGTACCACGATTGTCAGAGGCAGACAAGTTGTTTGCAAAATCACAGGTCGGGATTCGGCCGATGTGGTTAATGACGGAGCCGTCGTGATCCAAGAGGGTGCGATTGTCGAAGTGGGAAGGTATGACGAGCTGCTCACCCGCTATCAACCCGATGAGGTGATTGGCTCCGCCCGCCACGTCGTCATACCTGGACTGATAAACGCCCACCACCATGTGGGGCTTACGCCGTTTCAGCTTGGCTCGCTCGATATGCCGCTGGAGACATGGATAATCGCTCGGTGGGCACTGAGAGAAGTTGACCCCTACCTGGATACGCTGTGGTGCGCCATCCAGATGATTGAGTCCGGAATTACGACTGTCCAGCACAATCATATGGCTGCAAGAGTGCCGCTGGGTATGAGCCTGGTTGAAGCAGGATCCCAGATTCTGGACGCCTACGAAGCTAGCGGGATGAGGGTCGCCTTTTCGATGTTCACGCGCGACCAGAATCACCTTGTCTATGAAGACGACGAGCAGTTCCTGTCAGCCCTGCCCTCCCAACTCGCGGACCGAGCCCGTGAACGCATCAACATCAGGCCCACAACGCTAGACGAGTACCTGACCTCTACAGCGGACCTTCACACCCGGAGAAGCGGGCCGAAAACCAACATATTCGTAAGCCCTCACAACGTACACTGGTGTTCGGACGAGATGCTTACTGCAATGAGCGATCTGGCACGACGTCTGGAAACCGGGCTCCATGTGCATGTGCAGGAGACCATTTACCAGCGTATGTACGGATCGCGCCACTGGAATAAGACACCGCTGGCTCACTTAGCTGAGCTTGGAGTGCTGGGTCCGGAAGTATCCTGCGCTCACGGCGTCTGGCTGTCCGAGTCCGATCTCGACATACTGGCCGAGACCGGAACCGCCATCTGTACTAACCCGAGCTCCAATCTTAGACTGAAGAGCGGGGTTGCGCCCGTGAACAGGCTGCTGGGACGCGGCGTAAATGTGGCGCTCGGCATAGACGAGGCAGGCATGAACGACGACAACGACATTCTCCAAGAGATGCGTATCGCCCAGAAGATACACCGCGAACCGGGTGTATCCTCCCCCTACCCCACCTCCCATGACATTTTTCGGCTCGCTACGACCAATGCCGCCAAAGTTACGTTCTTCAACGAGGTGGGAACCATTGAGCCGGGCAAACGCGCCGACCTGGTCATGATAGACATGGAGCGGATTGAGGAACCGTATCTCAACCCTAACACCGACATCATGACGCCCTAGTGTACCGCGGCAAGGGATTGGACGTTGACACCGTGATAGTGGACGGTGAGGTTCTCCTCAGGGACAAGAAGTTTTTGAAGATAGACAAGGCCGAAGTGGCGGCGCGGCTGAAGGAGTCTCTCTCACGAGAGTTGACAGACAGGGAAGCAAGAGCCGGCCGCCTTTCGGAGGAACTCCTTCCATACATAAATCGCTGGTTTTCGGAGTGGGAACTGGAATCAGGCGCGGGACACTACTCCTACAACATACGCTGAGACTGAGAATAGACTTAGGCGGTGATGTAGTAGGCTGCTGAGTAACGCGCGTCGCATTCGGTATCTGTCGAATTATTGGATTGCAGTTGCCAAAAATCCAGCACAAGCAAGATATGCAGTTGCAGTCCTGCCAACGCCTCCTAGAACCTGTACAACGGATCGTCCGACGGCCTTGCCGCGCCGCCGCTGAAGCCCGCAGGAACGCCGTCCGCCCTGTAACACGCAGCGCCTCGAATTGTCCCGTTCGCATAATCGAACATCACCCCGTTCATTCCTCCGGCGACCCTCGGTGTGACCTGAACTTTATGCCCCATCCCCTTCAACGCCTGTCGAACTCCGTCGGATATGCCCGGTTCTATCTCAAGCTCCTGCCCCTGCGTCCATATCCGCGGCGCTTCCACCGCCTCTTGAAGGGACATACCGTGGTCGATGACATTCACAATCGCCTGCAGTACTGAAGGGAATATGCGCGTTGCGCCCGGCGTTCCCAGCGCCATCAGCGGCTTGCCGTCCTTCATCACGATGGTTGGAGACATACTGCTGACCATTCGCTTGCCCGGCGCGATGGAGTTCGCGTTGCCGGGATGCGGATCGAAGATGTTCATCGTGTTGTTCAGAAGCATACCTGTACCGGGTGTCGTCACCTTTGAGCCAAACACCGCGTGAATCGTTTGTGTCGTGGACACGACGTTGCCGTCTGAGTCAGCGGTCGTGAGGTGAGTCGTGTCTGCGCCTTCACCGACATAGAGCGAGGGATTCCCGTAGCTGTAATCACGTGCATGAGATGTGTCGATCTCGCGCCTCCGTGCGGCAGCATAACCCTTGTCCGTCAATGCGCCGACCGGGACTTCGACGAAGGCAGGGTCCCCCAAATACTCGAAGCGGTCTGCGAATGCAATCTTCATGGCTTCAGCCAGCAGATGCGATCCTTCCGCCGTACCGAATCCAAGAGATGTTACGTCGAATCCCTCCAGTATGTTCAGTATCTCGACAATCGCCGTGCCGCCCGAACTGGTGGGCGCGACGGATACGATATCGTGCCCTCTGTAAGTACCGCGCACCGGCTCCCTGAGATGTATGCGGTAGTTCTCGAAGTCGTCTTCCGTAATGATGCCGTCGTTCGCAGACATATCCGAGACGACCATCTCGCCGATGCGCCCCTTATAAAGCACGTCCGGTCCCTCGGCGGCAACCGCCTCCAGAGTACGGGCGTAATCCGACCTGACAATGGTCTGACCGACCGACGGGGGATTGCCTCTAGGCAGAAACACCTCCGCGCTTGCCGGAAACATAGCCAGGTCTTCCTGATTGAGGCGGATGATGTCCGCGAGGTATCGGCTGACCGCGAAACCACGCTTGGCATAGCGTATCGCTGGCTGGACCACTGTGTCGATTCCTAGTTTGCCGTACTTCTCTTCCGCGTAGCACCATCCCATCAGCGCGCCGGGCACTCCCACCGATCTATAGCCCACCAAATTGGCGCGGTCCGCCGTCTCCATGTAGTCCGGCCAGGTATCGGAGACGGTCTCATACATATCCGGCGTGGCTGCTGCCGGAGCGACCGAATAGTTATCGATGTTTACGAACTCCCCGCTTGAGGCGTCGTAGTAGTTGATGAATCCTGCCCCGAATATGCCGACCATCATCGGCTCCACAACGCTGAGCGCGAAGACGGACGCCACAGCCGCGTCCATCGCATTGCCGCCCATTGCCAGCATCTCTAGTCCCGCAGCTGAACCCATCGGATGGTTGGTAGTAACCATCCCATTGGACGCAACCGCGTCTTTCTTGTAAGTCTCAAATGGGCTTCCTGCAAGCTTTCTCCAGGACATTCGATCCTCCAGTAGTGTGATTGTCCGGTGTATCCACCCAAAGGCTCAGCCTTCAACAGGGCAGCACAAACGACTCAATTTCCCCTCGCAGACCTTACTTTGTCCAGCATCACAGGCGGCAATGGGAAAACCCAGCCCCTATTCGTTATTATTTCTCGTGTCAGCGCAGGCGGAACAGCCACGATAATTTCCGGCTCAATGGAGAACTTACCATCAAACCCGCCCATCGCGCTCCTGGCATGGATTCCCGCAAACCCGCCCGGATCAATGCCATCCTTAGCATAAGCGCTCCTGGGCCCTCCGAAAACAGAGTGCCATCTGAACGAAAAGCCGTTCGTCACAGCGGGCGCGGCCCCGCTCGCTCCACCACCCGGCGAAACTACCATGCCCAAAGCTTTCACAGTGTACAAGACATCATTCAAGTCACCTTCGCCACCGCAACTCAGGGTCCAATGCAGCCTGCGAATTAGTCTGTCAGCCGTATCCTGGGCTGCCTGAACACCGTGTTCGATACGCTCTGAGTCATCGTTCATCGGGTATGTTCCTGCCGATGTGCCGGATAGATACACAAGTCCGCTTTCATGCACAACCGCAGCTGCGATTCCTGCACCCTCAAGCGACACCACATCCTCGCTGAAACTGCCCAAGGAAATACCAAGTTCCCGAATCCTGTCGTATACATCGAAACTGCGACGCAACTCATCGGGCAGCAGCGCCTCGTCATAGAACTTGCTCACACTGAACACCTCACATAAGTAAATCCATAGTCAATGCGTTACAAGGCTACAGTAATATCGTGGAATCAACGCACGCGCACGTACTTGTCCACGCTCTGGCTCGTCGTCAGACCGAGATAAATGTCGCCCTGGGAATCAATCCAAATACCATGAGCGTGGCGCACATCCCAGCGAGCGAGCACTTCGCCATCGCCATCGCGGACTGTGACGCGCGGAGGGTTGCCGTCAGCCTCCTGTTCGCAGATGTAGAACAGTCCATCCGCGCCCTGCACGATGTCATTCGGTCCGCCCATGCCTGTCCACATCGTGATGAACTCGCCTTCGCAGTCGAAGATCTGAATTCGTCGGTTGGTCCGGTCGCAAACGTAAACCTTCTCTTCTCGATCCACCATCAGGCTGTGAGGCAGGTGAAACTCGCCGGGTTCTGAATTCCCGGGCGTTCCCCAGGACCTGATGAGTTCACCGTCACTCGTGAACTTATGGATCCTGCTTCGATACCCGTCCGCAACATAGATGCTCCCCGAAGGTCCCTTCACCATCTCAGTGGGGTAGTTGAACGGACCGGCGGCGCGAGGAACCATATCCCCGGGGCCTTCGCAGCCCGTATCGGAATGAACGCCACGCTCACCCAACACCAGCAAGGGCCTGCCTTCCAGCGTATATGCCACCGCGACAGAATCGTCACGGTCGGTCATATAAATGACGTCGTCGCTGATACTCATGCCGTGCGGCGAGTTAAAAGCGCCATGCCCCCACGCGTCTAGGTAGTTGCCATCTCCGTCGAAGACAACTACCGGCGGGTCTTTCCTCTGGAAGACATAGAGCCTGTCCTGCGAATCGGTAGCGACAGTGCTGACTACCGCGAAACAGTCTTCCCTTCTGGAAGCTCTGGGAAATCCTGGGCGAGTTCAAATGTGAGTTTATCTGTGCCAACAGTAGTCATGAAGCATTCCTTTCAATCCGTATCTCGCAAAATAATAGTTAGACGTCGCCGTAGAGTGTAGCACCAAAGGAAGTACCGAGCCATTCGATAGATTAGGTCTAAACCATGGCGTCGCCGAGAACGCAGATAGATAAAGATTTCCGGCCCGGATAGAATCAGCGAATGCAGGAAACGCATGTGAAACTGTCGGGAACGAGACTCACCCCAAGTGGCTTGTCGCCTCTTTGCCATTCCATATGAGCGTACTCTTGATGGGCACAGCTGTTTCCACCAGCCTCTCGGCGAAGCAGCCCCGCTTCGCGAGCTTGATGACATAGGCTATGTCTTCTTCGTCCGCGTCGGAACCTACCTCGAACTCGGAGCGCACCTCAGTCACCCCGCTGTTCACCGTTCCCGCCAGCACCGAGCCGGACAGATAGTAGTCCATCTCAACGTGCACGCGCGCGCTATTGATCGTAAGTTTTCTCATTGTAGCGTACCGCTTCAATTGGGTAAGCAGTCAGAACCCGATCCCAGAGGTGATGTAGGTCAATGGTGGTTGATATGCATTTTCGCCACCCATTCTCTCCGGCTCGTCGCAGTAAATCACAAAGTGCTGACGCGTACCCTTGTGGAGCATCTTCTCAACATGTTCACAGTCCACGGCGACGGTGCTGCGCGTCCCTCTCTGGGGAAGTTCATCGCCATGTACTTCATGAGGAATATCAGTGGTCATATAAGCTCACCTCTTTCTTGGATAGCCCTGCGATTACCGCTTCGAAGGCGATGCAGGGCGACGGATGTGAGTGTAGCAGGTCTATCGAAAGGGTCAAGCAGTGTAATCGGGGCAATCGTACAGTGGCTGTCAAAGTTGCCAGAATTACCAATGTGAGCAGAGCCAGAACCTCAACCGATTGGGGCACGTCGCCATGTCGGGACATAGCACCAGAGAAAATAAGTGGTCTGCAGAGCTAATCAGATGTTGTATAGCCTGAATATGGAACGGTCATGGTCATTGACGAAATACCACGAATCTCAGATCCTCCTTTGACAGCAGTGGATTTCACCAATAATATGTCCGCATGAACAGACTGAAGAAGAGAGTCGGGATAGCTGGCTGCGGGACTATCGGCCGAAAGATCGCGTCTGAAATGGACGCTGGTGCAGTGCCGGGAGCCTTTCTTCGCGGCATAACCAGTCGTAGCCTGGATCGCGCCGCTCGCTTCGCTTCAACGCTCGACTGCCATCCTCCTGTGATAGAGATTGGCGAACTTGTGGAAATTGTTGATCTCGTTATTGAGGCCGGCGCCCGCAAGTGCAATGGAGTCGATTGCGGTGGCGACCTTGTCCGCAGGTAAGGACCTGATGGCGCTCAGCGGAGGGGCGCTTCTGGAGCGCGACGACATGCTTAGCCTGGCTGAGAAGAACGGCGCCACGATATACGTGCCATCCGGTGCGATAGCCGGTCTTGACGGCGTCGCCGGCGCCTGTGCTGGGCGCATTGACTCGTTAACTATGATCACACGCAAGCCGCCAGAAGGCCTAAAGGGCGCTCCCGGCATCGAAGTTTCAGGGATCGATCTCGATGCAATCTCAGAACCGACGGTCGTGTACGAAGGTCCTGCACTTGAGGCCTGCAGGCTGTTTCCCGCGAACGTCAATGTCTCCGCTGCCCTCAGCATGGCGGGCATAGGTCCGCACCGTACTCACATCCGCATCTACGCCGACCCGACTGTGGACAAGAACACGCACGACATCGTTGTCGAGGGCGAGTTTGGCAGGCTTAGCATACGCATAGAGAACACGCCCTCGGAGACCAATCCCAGGACCGGGAAACTGTCAGCCCTGTCTGCGATCGCAACACTGAGGAAAATAACTTCGACCGTTCAAGTCGGAACGTGACGCTGAAGTCTGCTGTCCACCGGCTTGCAGATCAGTTCAGGTACTCGTAAGAAGGGCGCTCGCGACTTGGTTTAGTTAGGCGGAGCGCCCGAATTACGTCCTGTGATTATTCATTCGGATGCGCATAACGTCCGCGATTACCGCTTTCTAACAGGGTTGCCTTTTCCAGACTAGTCTGCGGCTGCCACTGCAGCCGCGCCGCGAGCAGCCAGTGCCTCTTCCATCGTCCTCTTCTCCTCGGCCTCTGTCTCCGGCGAGAACCGCACCAGGAACACCAGCGCCGACGCCAACAGCACCGTCACGCCCACGAACAGCAGTCCCTCTTGGTACGATATGCTTTCCGCACGGAACAGGAAGCCGAAGCTACCGCGCCCGCATTGCCGCCCGCGCCCACGATCCCGCACCGAGCCAGCGCCTTGCGGTTGACGAACGGCACGACCGAGAACGTCGCGCCCTCCGACATCTGCACGAACAGGCTGAACACAATCATCGCACCACAGCAAGGAACAGCGTCGCCATCTGCGAAACACCATCAGCGCGACGCCCTCGATCAGCAGCACCACACCAAGGAACATCACGCGTCCCTTCAGCCGAACTTGATGCCGAACTTGTCGCCGAAGACGCCGCCCAGCGTCCGCGCGAACAGGTTCATCAGCCCGAACAGTCCCGCGATCAGGCCAGCCGTCTTCAGGTCCAGCTCGAACCTGTCGAAGTAGTACAGCGCCGCTATGTTGTTGATGGTCAGCTCCACTCCGAAGCACGCGCCATAAATGATGAACAGCGCCCACACGCGATAGTCCTTCGCCGCCATCAGGAACGTCCCGCGCACCTGCGACGCCTGCGGCATCAGCCCCCGCGCCCGCAGATCCTTGTAGTTGCCCAGCGGCGCGTCCTGCGTCAGGAAGAAGTACGCGATGCCCACCAGGAACAGCGCCACGCCCGGCACCACCATCGCCACCCGCCACCCAAGCGTCTCGCCCACACCGAACATCAGCGCGCCGGCGAGCACCAGCGGCATCGCCATCTGCGTAACACCGCCGCCCATGTTGCCCCAGCCCGCCGTCGTCGCGTTCGCCGTACCAACCACATTCGACGAGAACATCACCGAAGTGTGATACTGCGTGATAACGAAAGAAGCCCCGATAACACCGATTGCAAGTCTGAACAGCAGGAAAGTCTCGTAGCTCTGCGCCAGCCCGATGCACATCACCGGAATGGAGCCAAAAATCAGCAGACCACTGTAAGCGATGCGAGGCCCGATCCTGTCGCACAGCCACCCGATCGCCAGCCGTGCGACGACTGTTATCGCAACCGATGCGATGATCGTGTTGCCGATCTGCGCCTTCGTCAGCAGCAGGTCCTCACGCACCAGCACCATCAGTGGCGCAATCCCGAACCACCCGAAGAACGCTCGGAAGAACGCGAACCATGTCAGGTGAAACGCTCGCATTTGCGGCGTCTTCAGACTGAAAAGGTTGATGCGCTTCGCCTTGCTGCTCTCCCAAGTGCTAACTGCTCTGCTCATTTCGCTCCTTCAACATCGGCCGACTTGCCACACCTCAAGGCACGACAACAATGGTAAGGAGAAACTTTTATAGCCCAGTTACACAGACGTTAAACTGATATGACATTCTGGTAAATTAAATGTTACATGAAATCAGTATCTTTCTTGCGAATAATAAGGATGCCCTCGAAGAATAAGGAAAAGCAAAAGGGGCAGGCTTGCAAAACCTGCCCCTCGAAACCTAACCATCCTGCCGGTTCGACCTCGATCTACTCGCGGGCGACTCCTCCCTCCCCACACGCTCCACCGGCACATTCTTTCGCGTCGCTGTCGAGCGTTCAGCCATCACATCCGCTTCAGCGAAAGCTTGTAGGAGCCCGTGTTGCCGCTGCTGGAGTAAGGAGTGCCTACCTCAACATAGTAATTGCCGGGGCTGTACTCATCTTCAAGCGACGCCACAGGCACATTCCTATCATAATTAAGTGCATGACCCGTGCCATCCACGGTCTTCCATATGCCGACATCCCCTGGTCCTTCGCTTACTGTCAGCAGGTATGGACCTTCTTCAGATATCTCGAAACGGAATACATCGCGGTCATCCAGCGACTCCAGTCCCCAGATCGGTACGAAGTCGCTATCACCTACTTCCAGCCAGTCCCAGGAGTTCAGGCCTGGATCGTCCCTCGGAACATCGGAATCGATCACGGCGGTCACCGAGTCGCCCGGACGAAGTACCAGGCCCGACTCAACATTGTCGTCGTCCGCGTGGTCATCCGCGCGTACCGATAGCTCGTAGTAGCCAAGGGCGCTACGGTCCTGTGCGCCTGCCCCAATTGCAATGTAGTACGTTCCGTCCTCGTCAGGTGTGAAGAACGCCCGCGCGAAGTTCCGTATGAACCCTCCCTGGTCGCGCTCCCCAAGCACCTGTTCACCCTCTTCGTCCACAATCTCCAGTATGCTTGGGTCCACCAGGTGCCCCGGCACGTATTGTATGCTGGGGTATCCGCCGCTTGTCCCATCGAATCCGGTGATGATCATCTTGTTCTTCAGCTCTATTATGTAGCTCTCGCCGCCCTCAGCCTCGAAGCTGAACCAGTCTCTTCCGTCGTCCTCTTCCGTTAGCTCACCGTCCGTCAGCCCTCGCAGGTTGGACTCGATTGACAGAGAACTCTTTCACCCACTCCTCCGGCTCAGGCGTGGGAGTGGGAGGCGTGATGGTCCCGCCGGTGGGCCCAGTCTGCTCCCCGTCGTCATCATTCTCTTGATCGTCCTCCTCGTCACCGTCGGAATCCTCTGCCGGAACCGCCACAACCACATGGTCAGGATCGTCATCGAGGCCATGGAAGATCCGGTTTATCCTTCCACCGGGGGCACGCACTGCCCACAGCCCGCCGTCTCTGTGGTTCACGTTGTAATACATACCGGTGCCGGGACCTCCAGCTTCAACGCTTATGCCGTCTGCGTCAACGTCTTCTTCAGTCACCGTATATCCGAAGACCAACTTATCGCCGCCGTCCCCTCTCAGAAGCTTCGCGACCCTGCGATTCTCTCCCACCTGTATGTACAGCCCCGGCGTAGTCGGCCCGCTCTCCGGTGTCCGGGTTCAACGTCGTAACGGTGCCTGTGAATTGCGCGGTGATCTCAATGACATCACCCGCGCCATACGCCACTACTTCATCTCCGGACGCAGTAGTAGTCTCCCTCGGCTCGGAAGTGATCTCAAGATCGTAGATGCCCACACCGTCGTCGTCCGAGATCGTTATGATGCACTCACCGTCGTGGCCCTTGTCAACCGAATTGTTGAACCGGACCTTGAAGGTCTCGTCGGTCTCAGGATAGTTGTCTTCCAGAGTTTGGAAGTTGCGCCCCATCACGCCTGACTCGGACTGAGAGTAGTTGCTTGACTGCCGCTCGGCATAGAGATGTTCGTAGTCCGACTCGTCAGCGGTGATGGAATCCGTGTACCAGAACACCCGCATGGTTGGATGTGGCCAGTCAGAGTCGTGCTTCTTGCGCACCTCGAGCCTGAAGTCTTCTCCCTCCTCTACAAGGGGTTCCAGGCACTTGATCTTCAGCCACGGTTCATTTGACCGGTGAGGCGCCGCATACACTGCTCGGCCCGGCGAGAAGAGCGGACCACTCAGCAGTATCGCCAGCGACACCATCGCAACCACCGCCATCCAGGCTATAATGCCGATGCTCCATGTATTTTCGGTTCCCAATTTTCTGCCAGTTTTATGTGTGACTGCCATTTCCCAACTCTCCTTCCTTTTCTCTGATGGCTGCCAGCGCCGGAACCGTCTAAAGATCCGCAAAGCAGGCATCCGCTGTATAATGCTCAGCTATAAAGTTTGCTTATCTAATGTCACTTTAACATATATTTATATATATGTTTAGCAATACGCCATAAAGCCACATGTATTGCTCTTAAGATGACAGCATGGTCAGGCGAGGACAGAAATTACGACCGAAGGTCAGAAGAAGAATCGAAACTGCGGAGGGAGCGCACACCTCAGTAGGGTTGATGAAGGAAGGAGTATGGAGATTCCAAGAAACGGACTAAAATCTGATGGCAACTTCCTAGAGTCGTCTGCGCAGGAGAGGACGCAACAGGAACCACTTTATGGAAGACGTACTGGGGCATAGGATCAGCGGAGGCATTGCCTTTGGCACTGCTTGTCACTTTCTACGCAGACACCACATGCCGCCGAAAACAAAAGAAAGGCAGGTAATGAAACCAGCCTCTCATGAAAATTTGTCTATCCTGTATATCGATGTAAGACTACTGGTTCACCAATATCCGCGTCTCAAGCGTCGCCACCCGCATTCCGTCCTGTGCCGTCATCAGGGAGAACCCATCAGATCCAATCCATCTAAGTCAGTTTCAATGGAGCAGAAGAATCTCATGGCCACCGGTCCAAAAGACCCGACAGATAGTCAATGCTAATCATGAAAAGATATATGCCTGTTGTAACCCCCAAGGCCCTGCCAAAAACTCTGAGTCTTCTGTTGCGGCTCTTTCGGTCTATGACCATCCCGAGTGTAATCACGACCGCTATGGGGAAAATAAATGAAAGGAAGATAAAAGTAACCGGCACTAATGTGGAATTTGGAATTTCGATTCCCACTCATCCATCTCCGGACTTGCTGTCGCCGGCTAAACTTTATCAATCCCACCTGTCAGTCCATTTCCTCCAATCGAGGAAGGTTATGAAGGGGGCATCAAAGAGTCCGCCCATCCTATATATCCTTTTCAGTTCCCATAGGATAACAGAATGTCCCCGTCCTCACTCAGCGAAACAACGTAAGTTCGCAGCGCGTCGCAGTCATTGCCCACGGGACTGCCTGTCGCTAGATCGAACTTATACGCATGCAGCGGGCACACAATCTGCCTGCCCCCGATGATGCCGTCGCACAGCGGTCCCGCCTTATGCGGACACGTCGCCTGCGTCGCGAATACCTCGCCCTGCCGCGTACGGAACACCGCTATGCTTCTCCCGTCCACCTCGAACACGCGCCCTTCACCCAGCGGTATCTGCTCCACTGGACCTAAGGTAAACGTCAGCCCCCGCGCCGCTTCCATGACACTCATCATGCTCATATCCTGCCTATCCGGTTAGCTACCCGCCGCAACGCTCACGAACTGGTTCGGATGCACCGGTATCTCAGCCTCCAGCCACGGGTCCTTGTACGCATCCACCGACGTCTGTATTTCCGCGTCAAGCCGCTCGCATATCCCCTCGCTACCATCGATTAGCACGCTTCTCACATGCTCGATGCCCACGCGCTCCACGAACCCGTATGTGCGCTCAAGATACTTCGCGTTTTCCCGGTAATACTGCATGAACCGCCCCATGTACTTCAGCACATCGTCATGGCTGTCCACGATGCACAAGACATCGCCCCTGCGCACCCGCGACCCAGCCGCGCCGCCGATGTAAATCTCCCACTTGCCGCCCTCGATAGCGACCACGCCTAGGTCCTTTGTCGTGGATTCAGCGCAGTTGCGAGGGCAACCCGACGCCGCCAGCTTCATCTTGTGCGGCGACTCCACACCCTGGAACCGCTTCTCGATCTCGATGCCCAGCTTCACGCTGTCACCCACACCGTACCGGCAGAAGTCCGTCCCCACGCACGTCTTGCATGTGCGGAACGCCTTCGTGTACGCATGCCCCGACGGCATCTTCAACTCCTGCCAAACATCCGGCAGGTGCGTCTTCGGTATGCCAAGCGGGTCGATGCGCTGCCCACCCGTGATCTTCACCATCTTCGCCTCATACTTCTCCGCCACATCCGCCAGCCGCCGAAGCTCGTCGGGCGAAGTAACCCCACCGTATATGCGCGGCACAACACTGAAAGTCCCATCCCGCTGTATGTTCGCATGCACGCGGTCGTTGATGAAGCGCGCATCCCGCTCGTCCTGGTACTCATCCTCCCATATCGTCTTCAGCAGCGACGCAAGACCCATCTTGCTCGCCGCATCCTCCTTGCCGCCCGTCAGCGTTTCCAGCACCGCCGATACGCTCCGAAGCCCCTGCAACCTGATTGCAGCAGTAAGCTCCGGTTTCGTCATCGCTATCGCCGGCACATAGTAGTGCTCTGAGGGGTCCTCCGCCACCAGCCCGTCCGCCGCCAACTCCAGCACCGCCTGCACCCGCGGAATGCACGACCCGCACCCGGTTCCCGCCTTCGTCGCATCACACACTGCCTTCAGGCTGCGGCATCCAGCATCCACCGCCGCAATGATCTTCCCCTTCGACACGCCATTGCAATTGCACACCTGCGCGTCATCCGGCATATCCGCAAGATCCAGCACAGCAGCCTCACCCGACAGCGGGAACAGCAACTCCGCGCGGTTCTGCGGCAGCGTCTCACCCCTGTCGAACGCCTGCAGCAATCGCGGCGCGGTGAACCCGTCGCCCAGCAATATCGCCCCCGCGACCTTGCCATCGCGGATAATCACCTTCTTGTACACCCCGCGATTCGGCTCCACATACGACACAACCTCATCGTCTTCGTTCGTGGGCTCCTTATCTCCCGCAACCGCAAGTTCCACGCCCATCACTTTCAGCTTCGTCGATGTTTTCGACCCGGTGTATGCTGCGGTCGACTTCTCGACCGTCAGTCGCTCGGCAAGCGTCCAAGCCTGGTCCCAAAGCGGCGCGACCAGCCCATATGTCTTATTGCGATGCTACGCGCACTCGCCGATAGCATATATGTCGCGATCGTTGCGGCACGAAAGGTCGTCGTTCACCAGTATCCCGCGCCGTAAGTTCAACCCTGCCATCCGCGCAAGGTCGATGTTCGGCCGTATCCCCGCCGAAATCACCAGCATCTCGCAGTCCAGCGTACCGCCGTCCGGAATCCGATCCCGCTCACCCTGCCATTACCGTGAATGCTCGTCGTCATCTTCTCCAATGGAAGCGCACCCCCAATCTTCGAGCAGAACCTTCAGCATAGCGCCCGAGGATGCGTCAAGCTGCTGGTCCATAATGTAAGAGGTCAGATGCACAATATCCACATCAAGCCCGCGGTTCATCAGTCCCCCGCGCCGCCTCAAGCCCTAGCAGCCCGCCGCCAATAACCGTCGCCTTGCTCGCATTTGAAGCGTACTCCACCATCTCCGTGCAGTCGTCCAGCGTGCGGAACTGGAATATGCCGTCCCTGAAACGCGCCGTCATCCCGGTATAGCCCGTCCATCATCGGAATGAACGGCGAGCTGCCGGTCGCAACTACCAGCTTGTCGTATGGCACGAGAAGCCCGCCCGCGCCGTAAGCCGTCTTCGACTTTCGGTCGATGCGATGACGCGCACTCCTGCATGCAGCGTGATGTCGTTCTCCTCGTACCATGGCAGCGGGTTGATAAATATGTCCTTAGCGTCATGCGTGCCCGCAAGCACTCCCGACAGCAGGATGCGGTTGTAATTCCCGTATGGCTCTTCGCCAAATACGGTAATGTCGTACTGATCCTGCCCGCCAAGCGACAGCACCTCTTCCACGAACCGCGCACCCGCCATACCATTGCCGACGACGACTATCTTCTGCTTTTCTGCCATTATAGACCTCTATCTGAATATCCTATCCATCTGTCCATCAATGTAAGTTCCGTCAGCCCATCGCCTCTATCATCGCCCCACAGACCTTGAACTTCGGCATCCTGCTCGTCGGATCCAACGTCGCGTTCGTCAGCCGATTCGCAGCACGAATCCCGCCCCAGTGGAACGGCACGAACAGCGTATCCTCCCGAATGTTCGCCGTAACGCTAACCTTGAACTCAGCATCACCTCGCCGCGTGCTGATGCGAGACCTGCCGCCATTCAACAGCCCGTACAGCCGTGCCGTGGTCGGATGCACCTCAACAGTCGCCTCAGGGGACATTTCCACCAGTTCCGCCACCCGCCGCGTCTGCGTACCGGACTGGTACTGCGCCATAAGCCTGCCCGTCGTCAGATACAGCGGGAACTTCGAGTTCGGCGGATCGGCAGGCTGCTGATGCCGCACCGCATGGAATTGCGCCTTGCCGTTTGCAGTCGCAAACCCCTGCGTGAACATACGAGGCGTCCCCGCATGCCCCTCGTCAGGACACGGCCAAAACACCCCATCATTCGCCTCAATCTTCGCGTAGGAAATGCCCGAGTAGTCCGCGGGTCCCCCCGCGCTCGCACGTCCAAGCTCCTTGAATACTTCCTCCGTGCTCCCGTAGCTGAAGTGTTCGCCCTTGCCCAGACGCTCCGCAAGCTCGCATATCACCTGCATGTCGTCCCGAATTCCGTCCGGCGGCTCAAACGCCCACTTCCGCATAATCACGCGCCCTTCGAGGTTCGTCATCGTGCCATCTTCCTCCGCCCACTGCGCCGACGGCAGAACCACATCCGCCAGTTCCGCAGTCTCCGACAGGAAGAAGTCCGACACCACCAGGAAGTCCAGCGACCGCAGCCTCCGCTCCACATGCACCGCATTCGGCGCGGACACAACCACATTCGAGCCGAGCACCAGCAGCGATCGCACCCCACCTTCCTGACCCAGCGAGTCCAGCAACTCATAAGCAGACTTGCCCGGAGCAGGCAGCGTATCCGGGTCGATTCCCCAGACAGATGCCACATGCTCACGTGCCGCAGGATCGTCAATCTTGCGGTAGCCCGGCAGTTGGTCGGCCTTCTGCCCGTGCTCCCTGCCGCCCTGTCCGTTCCCCTGCCCTGTCAGGCAGCCGTACCCGCTGTTCGGCTTGCCCACCAGTCCCAGCGCCAGCGCGATATTGATAAACGACAGCGTATTGTTGACGCCCTGAGCCTGCTGCTCAGCTCCCCGCGCCGTCAGCACTATCGCCGTCCGCGCCTCGCCCAGCATGCGTGCCGCCTGTATGAGATTCGCCTCCGACACGCCCGTGATCCGCTCCACCCGCTCCGGCCAATATGTAGAAACCGTCGCGCGCACTGAGGCGAACCCCTCCGTGTGCGCCTCGATATAATCCGTGTCTATCAGACCGTCCCGCACCAGAATGTGCATGATGCCGTTGGCAAGTGCCGCGTCCGTTCCCGGCGTAAGCCGCAAGTGCAGATCAGCCCTCTGAGCCGTGGTAGTCAGCCGCGGGTCCGCAACAATTAGCCTCCCGCCGTTAGCCCGCTGCGTATCAAAATATTGCATTATCGGTGGCATCGTCTCCGATGCGTTGCTCCCAACCAGCAGTATCGCCTCCGATCCCGCGATGTCCTCCACCGGAAACGGCAGACCCCGGTCAATCCCGAACGCCTTGATGCTCGCAGCAGCCGCGGAGGACATGCAGAAGCGTCCGTTGTAGTCAATATTCGCTGTGCCCAGCGCAACCCGCGCGAACTTGCCCAACAGGTACGACTTCTCGTTTGTCAGCGACCCTCCCCCGAACACCCCAACCGCATCCGCGCCATAGTCCTCCTGAGTGCGCTTGAACTCGCTTACGATGCGTGTCATCGCCGCATCCCAGCTCACCGGCGCCAGCCTACCGTCAGCATCGCGCATCAACGGAGACCGCAGCCGCTCCGGATGATTCAGCGTCCCCGCGGCAGTCCACCCCTTGATGCACAGCGCACCCTTATTCACTGGAAACTCCGAGTTCCCCGCAATCTTGGGATCAGCCGCCGCACCCTCGATTACCATCCCGCACTGAAACGCGCAGTACGGGCAGTGCGTCCGCGTTGCGATCGCCGTGTTCTCAGAAACAATCTGTGTAAGCAGGGCGCATATCCTTCACTGATCCATCAATGTCGATAGATGAACCGTACGCCCCAACTTTTACCTATATGTTGCAGGCGTGTTAAAAGTCTGTGAAATCCAAGAGCTTGAATCAATGCCACCTTGAGAGCCACCTCCTTCCGTTCGCCCAACGGCGTACACCATCGCGAAACAACACTCTCTTGATTTTCATCGCAATAGGGTACTCCCGTCTCGCCCACTCGGTGCCTCCCAAACCATCGATTCCGGTGTGTCGCACACTGCCTAAATGCCTCCTTCATTCTGATATACTTCTCCAACGGCGTGAATCTCCAGCCCATCCCAAGGGCTTGAATTAATTGCTTGGAAGGACACGCCTCTTCTTCTTAAGCTTTCAGGTTTTCATTTGAGATTTGTATCGACAGAATCACAATAAGGTTGGTGCTACTATTCCGAATCGCATGAAAGATAAACTACTCTCAGGGGAGCCTGCTTTCGGTGTCTCAGTCATGTTCCCTTCGCCGCACATCGTTGACATCGTCGGCAGGCTGGGCTTCGACTGGATACTCATTGACTGCGAACACGGTTCCATTTCCCTCGAAAGCGTCGAGCTCATGGTCATGGCAGCAGAAACGGCTGGCGTGACTCCAATCGCCAGGCCATCTGCAAACTCATTTGAGTTAATCGGGCAGCTCATGGATAGGGGCGTAATGGGTGTTCAGGTTCCTCACGTAAACACCGCGGAAGATGCCCAAAGAGCAGTTGAAGCGGTTAAGTATCATCCGATTGGCGATCGCGGACTTGCCGCAGGAGTCAGGTCTGCGTCCTATGGGTACGGCCTGTCCATGTCCGAATACGCAGAACAGTCAAATAGAGAAACTCTAGTCTGTGTCCAATTGGAAGAGGGAGAGGCGGTCAAGAACGTAGATCAGATTGTGGGCGTAGAAGGTGTGGATGTGTTCTTTGTTGGCCCGTCAGACCTGTCTCAGTCCCTTGGTTATCCGGGACGCCCTGACGCCCCTGAAGTGCGGGAGGCGATGGATACCGTGTTTGCTACAATCGCGGCGACTGGGCGAGTTTCTGGTTCTGCGGGCAACTCCGATGCCACACGACGATACCTCGCCCAAGGCGTCACTTACCTATATACGCACCTTACAACGCTGCTTGGATCTGCTGCCGGGACGTTTCTTGGTGAAGTAAATCGCTAATTCGGCACTTCCGGAACCAGGCAACCCCTTTATGTGCAAGTAGATTATTCGTGATTGTTGCCTTCGTGACCGCCCTCTATTGAAACCGGCTGCCCCCAGAGCTTGATTGCGGCCTTCCGCCTTGACAGCCCGGCTTCCCAAGTTACAATTGCCTTAAATACCGAAACTGAGGCCAACTAAGGAGATACTGCAATGCCGTTTTATACCAAAGGCGATGTCCGCATCCACTATGAGGAAGTTGGGTCCGGGTTCCCGCTTCTGGTGACTCCCGGCGGAGGCTTGAACTCCACTATCGACAAATGGCCCGGACAGGTGTTCAACGCCATGGAGGTGTTCAAGAACGATTTCCGCTGCATCACTATGGACCAGCGCAACGCGAATGGCGGAGAGTCTACCGGGCCGGTCCAGGTCAACGATCCTTGGGGAGCGTTCGCCGACGACCAGCTAGGATTGATGGACCACCTTGGCATTCAGGAGTTCTTTTTCATGGGTTACTGCATCGGTGGCCCCTTTGCGTTCAAGCTCATTGAGCGAGCGCCTGAGCGCGTCCAGGCCGCCGTATTCTGCCAACCGGTTGGGCACTCGAGCGCAACACCAGACGCGATGTACGACTCCGGTCACGACCTGTGGGGACCCGAACTTTGTGCACAGCGGTCAGATGTGACGATGGAGATCGTCGATGAGTACCTGCACAACCTTATCGCCTCCAGCCGGACTTCATGTACTGCGTATCGCGGGACTTCGCGCGCTCGTGCCAGACGCCGATGCTGGTCATGCCGGACGATACGCCGTCGCACTCCTATGAAGCCGCAATTGCCCTGGTGGAATTGGCTCCTAATGCCGAGGTGACGGCATATCCCTGGAAGGAGTTAGATGACGTGCGTGCGAACGCGATAGAGCAGGTGCGGGAGTTCCTGAAAGTCCCATCAGCCCGCATAGACCGGACGCTGAAAGGGAGTGCTGCGTAACGGCGTTATCGATTCCTGTCTAGACATAAGATCTGCAGACTAAATGCAGGGTGGAACAAGCCGGAATGTGGTAACGCACGGCTAACGCGCTTCCTCAATCGAGTTTCGGCTCGCCTCCGCCAGCACTGCGCTCGACATTGAGATCGATTTCGAGACGAGCCCCATAACTATGCCTCTCAGTTGAGAATGAATCGAAGGGCAATGACATGAACGATTACGAACCTCTGGATCTTGCCGAACAACTGAATGGTGGCTTGGATGTACTTGGCGCGGGCGCCGACGCAGAAATCGGCCCGCGCCACTTCAGGGGCCTGCCGTTCGCCATCGGCGCCGATCCTTCCAGATGCTTTATTGCGCTGGAAGGCGAAAGCGAACGAGTCACTATAGCGGTTGGTCGTGCCGCCTCGAGGATTATCTTCGCTCACAGGCTTCTCACATCCGAGATCGACAACGGCGGGCCCGTAGGCATCCCGTTGCCGAATATGTCTTTTCGCTTGCGAACGGAGAGCAGCATGTCGTGCCCATCAGGGAGCGATTCGAAATTGGCTTCGTTCCGACCGACTCATTCCGTGGTCCGTCAGGTCTGCCGTTCATTGCGGTCACGGATGGCAAACACCAGATGTTTCCACGCTATGAGGGACAGTGGCAGGAGCTCGGGCGGCGTCAGACCGAGTACCTCCAGGCAACCGCTCGAAGCTACTTCCTGTGGAGCTGGACAAATCCGGAACCGGATGTCGCGGTAGAAAATATCGAGATTGTTCCCAGAGGTCCCGCGCTCGTGATTGCAGGAGTCACGCTAAGCCATGTAGAAGAGCACCCCTTCGCTCGTCAGGGGCGAAGAGAGGCAAAGATTACAATCACCGACCCGGTGCTAGCGTCAAGCCAGTTCGATCTTGAAGTGGAGGTGGACAGAGGCGATTCAACCTATGCCTTCCCGCTTCCCAAAGACCCCGACGACGGCTTCCTGAACGGGTATCACCGCGGATTCGGCGAAGCGAACAACGACGAAGCAAGCCCCGCATACGCGGAGATTTCGGCGGTTCCTCAGCTACGGTGTCCATAAAGCAGGATGGCGAGTCCATCGCCCATCTGCCGTGGGGCGAGGTCGAGGAGAAGGGAAAGGCTGAGGCTCCGAAGGCGCGCATCGAGCTGATGGACCGCGGGCGCAACTGGGTTAAAGTAACGGTCGTTGACGACGACACCGGCAGGCCGGTGCCGTGCCGGATCCACTTCAGGTCTCCGGAAGGGATTCCATATCAGCCGCACGGACATCACAATCAGGTGAATTCCAACCTCGACACTTGGCACATAGATATCGGCGGCGACGTGCGCATGGGTCAGATCACCTACGCCTACATTGACGGTCGGTGCGAAGGCTGGCTGCCACGAGGCGATGTGATCGTGGATGTGGCGCGCGGGTTCGAGTACGAGCCGCTGCGGACGAAAGTGCGAATCGAGCCGGGGCAGCAAAGGCTGGAGCTCCGTATAAAGCGCTGGATAGACATGAACGCACGACGCTGGTTCAGCGGCGACTCACATGTTCACTTCCTGTCGACGGATGGGGCGCACTTGGAATCTAGCGGCGAAGACCTCAATGTGGTCAACTTGCTCCAGTCCCAATGGGGCAGCCTCTTCACTAACACAGAGGACTTCACGGGCAGGGCTAGTGTCGTGCAGAACGGCAGCAACATCGTTTATGTGTCGCAGGAAAATCGTCAGCACTTCATGGGACACATGATCCTATGGGGCTTGAAGGAGCCAGTGATGCCGTGGTGTTCGGACGGCCCGGGTGAGGCGGAGATCGGCGGGCATATGGAGACGACGCTTGCCCACTGGGCGGATGAGGCGCACGCTCAGGGCGCATGGGTCATCAACCCGCATTTTCCGAACCCGAACGGTGAGCCGGCTGCGTTGGTTGCCACCGGACGGCTCGACGGCGTGGAAATGCTCCGACAGACCCGTCCGAACCACATGGAATACTACCGCTACCTGAATTGCGGCTATCGCCTGCCGCTGGTCGGAGGCACCGACAAGATGAGCAGCGACGTGCCGGTTGGCCTTTACCGCACTTATGCGCTGCTCCCTGATGACCAGGAGTTCACATACGAGAACTGGTGCCGCTCTGTCGCGTCAGGTCGGACATTCCTGAGCGGGGGACCGATTATCCATCTATCGGTGGATGGCAAGGATGTCGGCGATACGCTGGCAATGTCCGGGCCCGGGAGCGTCGAGGTTGAGGCGTGGGCGGAGAGTGTCCTGCCTGTCTTCTCACTTGAGATAGTCCAGAGATGGTCGAGTCGTGGCACGCGCCGACAATCGCAACGGCGCTCGGCGGCTCGAACTGAAGGAGAAGATCAGGATCGACGGTCACTCCTGGATTGCGGCTCGGACTGGTGCATTCGACTACTTTGACATCGTGCCGCATCACGATGTGTGGAACCGGGGCGTGTTCGCGCATACGTCTCCAATCTACGTGGCGTGCGGTGGCGAGTGGGATATGTTCGATTCAGCCACAGCTCAGTACATGCTCACGCTAATTGATGGTGATCTGTCGTACATCAGGGAGACCGCAGGGACGAGGCCAGCCGGATCGGTCACGCACCGGCATGGCGAGGACGACCACTTGGCATACCTTCAGAGGCCATTCCTTGAAGCAAGGGACGCGATCCTGAGCAGGATGCGGTGATCGGCTAAGATTGAACATAAGGCATCGGCGGCACTACAGCAGCTCGGGTATTAGCGTTGTTGCAGAACCTCTTAGACTCGCTCGTCGCCTACTATTCACCCTATCCCTTTCTTCTCAGAAAAACTTCAATGGCTGATATCCAGCCGATGCCTTATGCCTCACTGAAACACTGTTCGAAAGGTTAACCTCTACGTTCCCTGCGCGAGGTTAACCTGTTCCACAAGAGATCGATGGGTCAAGGTGAGCAGATTTCGTTCGAGCTCGGCCTGCCCACCTATCCGTCAGCATTTGGAGTGAGTGAGCTTTAGGGTCCTTCCTCTGACTCTTGTGTTTCCTTTGTTAAAGCTACTCCAATGCGTAGGTCAGATGTGCGTTTAGATTGGAATGCCAACGGCAAAGTGCTATAATGCACTAAGTTATTGGAAGCCAAACAAAGATGTGAATGGAAATGAGACTTTGGTTGACGCAAATGTAGCGGTCCTAATCGATTATGAAAACGTTGGACTGGACGCGATCCAACACCTACTTGATCAACTCTCAGACGTGGGACGCGTTATAATCCGCCGTGCTTACGGCGATTGGTCAGTGCAGCGAGGCAAGCAGGACCAGCTCCTAGAGCTTGGCGTTGAACCGATCCATCAGTACCACTCTAACAAGTCGGGGAAAAACTCCAGTGACATTCGTCTGGCGATTGAAGCCATCGACTTGCTCTACAGTTCCCCCATCGATACCTTCGTCATAGTTTCATCCGACAGCGATTTCGTCCCTCTTGTGGGGAAACTACGTTCCTCCGGCAAGAGCGTAATCGTAGCAGGTCGCCGTGAAGCCACTTCACCCACGCTTATCAAGAGCTGCGACCGCTATATATTCCTGGACCAGGAAAAACGGGTGGCAGCTCCGCTAACGCAGGCACGCCGCCGCTCACCAGGCCGACGGAACGGTAACCAGGCCTCTCAGCCGACCAACGCTGAGGCCGACGCAAAGTCGCTGCTGCTACGCGCGATTGACGCATCGATGGACGAGGCGGGTGAAGTTGTTGGCTCAAAGCTCTACCAGACAATGCGCCGTATCGAACCGAGTTTCAACTTCAAGGACATGGGGTACAGGCTATTTACGCAGTTTCTGGACGCGCAGGCTGATGTCATCGACATTACTCGTCCCACGGACGGCAGCGGAGATGTGGTAGTTCAGCTTGCCGGCAGGGACCAGATAACACCCCCGCCCGTGCGAGCTGACAATGAAAATCGCGCCGCGAAGCTTGTTGACCCCAGGGATGTCGACCAGGAAACTTCTACTCGGCGCAGCTCAGAGGAAAAGCCAAAGGCCAGCCACGCGAAGCCAAACAGAAGGCAAAGCGAGCCCACAGTGCAGTCCGGGCGACGGCTGCTTGGATCAACTCGACCGCCAGCATCCAGACCGGCCACGCCTGAACCGGTGGAAGAGAATCCTGTTGAGGACAAGGTCGAAGAATTACCTGTTGAGGTTGCAGCGGCCGAGAGCAAAGATTCGAGGCAAATTGAAGCGGTGTCCTCCAGCAACGCTGAGCAGAAAGCGGAGAAGCCGGCAAAGAGCAAAGCCGAGACTAATGGAGTATCTTCTGCAGGTATCACTGGGAAGTAGCTGTTGACGCCGCCTGGTCGAAGCGCGATTCAGCAAAGATTGCTGGGCGATCGGCTGCTTCTGATGCTGCGAAGATACTGGGCGCGCCCAAGCTGGGCTCTTCCCAGTATCCAACCCTCGACAAACTGCTTGCCGCAAGCACCCTTCTGCAATTGAACTGGCGACGTGACGGCAACTCAATACTCCGGAAATAACCGATCGCATCAGGCATTGCGCCGGCCGCATCGGTGAATTGGATTACGCCGCAATGCTGTTAGCCCTCGATATAGGCAAACACAACATTACTCTCGGCGTGTTCGACGATGAACGGCTTGTCGCAACTTGGAGGCTGTCAACCGATCACGCCAAGATGCCGGACGAGTACAGCATCATGCTTACTCAACTGCTGCACCTTCGGGGAATGTCGGTGAACGATGTCGATGCTGTGGCACTCTGTAGCGTTGTCCCTCCACTTACGCCCACATTCGTTGAGTTGTGCAGACGGTTTTTTGGTGTCGAGCCTCTCGTAGTGGGAGCAGGCACACGCACGGGAATACGCATCCTTTACGACAACCCGCGTGATGTAGGCGCAGATCGTATCGTTGACGCAGCGGCGCCCGCAATGAGGTTGTACGGCGGGCCGGTCATCGTTGTTGATAGGGGTACTGCGACCGTAATCGATGCCGTGACCGCCGGCGGTGACTACCTCGGAGGCGCGATTACGCCGGGGATGACAATCGCACACGACGCCCTGTTCAGCAACACATCCCAACTTCGGCGCGTGGAACTGGTCAGCCCGGAAACGGCAATTGGCAGAAACACCATTCACGCAATACAGGCGGGCATCGTGCTGGGATACGCTGACCTCGTGCGCGGAATGGTGGGGCGCTTTGACCGCGAGCTTGGAGGCGGCGCGAAGGTCGTGGCCACAGGCGGAATGGCACATATCATTGAGAAAGAGGCCGGCGTGTTCGACGATGTGAACCCTGACCTCACGCTGACCGGGTTGCGTCTCATTCACGAAATGGCATTGTCGTCCTGATCCGTGAGGCGGAGGTAGGAAAGATGCCAGACCCTCTGGCAAATAAGTACATCGCGCTTGGCGTTACGGGCAGCATAGCCTGCTACAAGGCGGTTGACCTCGCCAGCAAGCTGACGCAGGCGGGTGTACTCGTCGATGTCATAATGACGCGGGAGGCCTGCCAGTTCCTCGCTCCCCTCACTTTCCAGAGCATAACGCATCGTCCCGTCGTAACGGATGTATTCGATCCGCAATCCGAACTGAGCATAGACCATGTAGCCATTGCAGAACGAGCCGATGCGGTCATTGTCGCTCCTGCGACAGCGAACACGATCGCCAAGATGGCGCACGGATATGCGGACGACGCGCTTACGACGACGATTCTGGCAACGCAGGCGCCATTGATCGTTGCTCCTGCCATGGATGCGCACATGTATGACAACGCAGCCACGCAGCAGAATGTTTCCATTCTACGGGAGAGAGGCTGTGTTATAGCCGGCCCAGCGAGTGGGCGGCTGGCATCCGGGCTTATCGGAAAGGGGAGATTGCTGGAAACTCCTGCACTTTTGGGGTGCCTGCGCCAGACCCTAGGACGCCATGGGGACCTTGAAGGGCGGAGAGTTGTTGTCAGCGCAGGCGGCACACAGGAGCCGATCGACCCTGTGCGCGTAATCGCCAATCACTCGTCTGGCAAGATGGGCTTCGCCTTGGCGGAAGCAGCAAGGGACAGGGGTGCAACGGTCTCTTTAGTGTCCGCGCCTACCGCACTGCCCGACCCTTTTGGGATTAAAGTGGTTAGAGTTCAGACGGCGCTTCAGATGTTGGACGCGTTGCATAGCGATGCACCGATGCCGACGCATTGATAATGGCCGCGGCTGTTGCCGACTGGCGTCCGTCAAGCATATCCGAACAAAAAGTAGGTAGCGCGGACACTTGGTCGGTCGAATCTCATCAAGAATCCCGACATCGTTGCGGTATCGCGGGCGCGAGCGGCTTGTTAAGGTGGGTTTGCAGCGGAAAGCGAAGACCTGTTGTCGAACGCCGAAAGTAAATTGTTCAGCAAAGGGCTTCACTTGATTGTCGCAAACGACATCACTGCGGAGGACAGCGGGTTTGGCGTGGATACGAATCGCGTCATATTGGCTCGACAGGGAGGGCGGAAGAGACCCGCTACCTCTAATGAGCAAGTACGATGTGGGATGTGCGATACTGAATAGAGTTGCCGTTTACCTGGGTTAGAATGAGCGCTGTTCTTCCTCTCAATTGACCCAATCTGTTGGGAAATCTATGGCTTTGCAAGACATACTAAGAAGCATTACGGAGCGTCTTGAAGGTTCTGCAAATGTCAGCACCGTTTATGGCGAGCCGATCGTTGCGGAGGGCAAGACCATCATACCTGTCGCAAAGGTGCGCTACGGCTTTGGTGGCGGTTTTGGGGAGGGTAAAGGAAGTGAAGACGAAGGACAGGGAGGAGGCGGTGGGGGTGGAGTCGAGGTCACACCCATCGGCATCATAGAGATTACACCGGAAGGGACACGGTACATATCGTTCGAAGATAAGAAAAGGCTCATACGAGCGTGTTTCGGGCTCACCCTGATAGCGATATTCGTCGTCGCTAGGTGGCGCAGGCGCAGCAAACGGAATCTGTGATAATCTGCATCACAAAGATGAAGCGGAAGAGCCGTACAAATTGGAGGAAGAAATGCCTATCGTTAGAGTTGAAATGTGGCCGGGAAGAACGCATGAACAGAAGGCGAAACTCGCTAAGGCGATAACGGAAGCAATGTCGGACATCGCCCGGCGCACCGCCGGAAGCGACGATAATCGTGTTTGAAGACGTGTCCAAGGACAACTGGGCCGAGAGCGGTACACTGGCGTCCGACGCCTAGCGATTCGGCGTAAAATTGTTGACAGCGTCATTCGACCGCGCTAATATCGTTTCAGACAGCGATAAATACTAGGCGTTGAGCAGGAGTAGTAAGTCCTCCAGCGAAGTTCCAGAGAACCGGGCAAGGTGAGAGCCGGTGCTTGCGCAGATGACTGAATGGACCTGGGAGCCGCCACCCGAACCCCTCATGGGCAAGTAGGCGTGGCCGGAGCGGGCACCGTTATCATAGCTCAGGGTATCGAGATTGCTTCACAGCGCTCTCCATACCTTGAATTAGGTCGCACACGCGCTTCCAATTCTGGAGAGCGTGGTGACGAACTAGGGTGGCACCACGGCTTCAACCCGTCCCTTTGAGGACGGGTTTTTTGTTGTCATTTTTCAGGCGCAGGAGGTAGTGGCACGATGAGTATCATCGGCACATTATTCTGGCGAAGTTCATAGCCCTATCCTGAACCCCTTATGAATTTGAGCGAGGTCTTTCAAGACATGACAACTCAGATACACAGAAAGATTTCTGAGCCAAGGGCTGTGGAAATGCGGCGAGTGTTCAGCGGCATTCAGCCGTCAGGCGAAGTGCAGCTCGGCAACTATCTTGGCGCCATCAAAGGTTGGGTCGAGCGTCAGGGAGGAGAAGGTTAACTTCTTCTGCCTGGTTGACCTGCACGCTATCACGGTCTATCAGGACCCTGAAGAATTGCGCAGGCAGACACGTTCGCTTGCGGCGGTGTTGTTTGCCGCCGGGCTGCACCCGGACAAGAGCACAGTATTTGTGCAGAGTCATGTGGCAGCCCACGCCGAGTCGTGTTGGGTGCTCAACTGCGTTACGCCGATGGGATGGCTGGAGCGCATGACGCAGTTCAAGGACAAGTCATCGCGGCAGGAGAGCGTATCCGCCGGGCTTTTCGACTACCCAGTGCTGATGGCAGGTGACATCCTGCTCTATGACTCGCATGAGGTGCCTGTCGGCGACGACCAGCGGCAACACGTGGAACTGGCGCGCGACATAGCAATTCGCTTCAACCGCATCTATGGCGACACCTTCGTCGTGCCTGAGCCGATGATACCGGAGATTGGCGCGCGCGTAATGGGCATGAACGATCCAACGGTCAAAATGTCCAAAAGCTTCGCGCACATCCGCGGACACGCCGTGCGCATGCTCGACGAACCCAGGGAGATCGAACGCACCATCAAACGCGCGGTTACCGACTCGGGCAGCGAGATTGCCTTCTCAGACGATCCTGAGAAGGCAGGTGTGAACAACCTGCTCGGCATCTACAAAGTCATAACCGACAAGTTGCAGGACGAGGTTATCGCGGATTTTGCAGATGCGCGCGGCTACGGAGACTTGAAGTCACGAGTTGCCGAGGTGGTAATTGATGCGCTGAGTCCCATCCAGGAGCGCTACTACGAATTCATGGACGATCCTGCGGAGCTTGACCGAATGCTCGCCAGAGGCGCCGAAAGCGCTGCCGCCGTAGCGACGCCAAAGATGGACGAAATCAAGCAACGAGTTGGATTCACCCTACCCCAATTTTAGCAACCATGTCTCTTAAGGGCTGCTGCCGCTGCTATGACGCTCCAGCAGCCCAATTCGGAGGAATATACGAAATGTACTATCCTGATTTGGAGCAAGTCAAAGATCTTGCCCACAAGGGCAACCTGATTCCAATCTGCCGAGAAATCAACGCTGACCTGGATACCCCGGTCAGCGCATATCTGAAGGTGGCGCGCCCGCCCTACTCCTTCTTGCTCGAAAGCGTCGAGGGCGGCGAGCGCATGGCGCGATACAGCTTCATCGGAACCGAGCCGGAATCCGTCATTAAGACTGGAAGAGGGCAACCTCTAGGAAGAGTTGACCCACTTGAGCCGATCGAACGTGAACTGGGCCGCTACAATCTGATAGAAGTGCCGAATATACAACGCTTTAACGGCGGTGCGGTCGGCTACCTGTCCTATGAGTCTGTGAATTACTTTGAGGAACTTCCCACTCCCAGCACGGACGTGCTTGACGTGCCGGAGTCGTTGTTCCTGATGACTATGACCTACCTGGTATTCGACCATATTGGACACAAGATCAGCGTCGTTAGCCACGCTCATCTGAACGGCGATATAGAGCGCTCCTACAACGAGGCTACCGCACGCATAGATGAGATAATCAGGCGGCTTCAATCGCCACTGGTGATGCCCGTGTCATCGCATAGCGCGCCTAGCCAACGTCTCGCTACGACATCCAACATGACGCCTGAAGAGTTCTACGACATGGTGAATCATGTCAAGGAGTACATCGTTGCGGGCGACGTCATCCAGACGGTTGTTTCGCAGCGTCTCTCGCGCCCTACCACGGCTGAACCGTTCCAGATTTACCGCTCTCTGCGCGCCATAAATCCCTCACCGTACATGTACTACCTTGAACTGGACGGTTTCCAGATTGTCGGCGCTTCTCCGGAAATGCTGGTGCAAGTTGAGAACGGCATCGTCTCCACCAATCCAATCGCTGGCACGCGCCCGCGAGGGGCGGACGCGGCAGAGGACGACGCCAACGAAGAAGAGCTTCGCACAGACGAAAAGGAACGCGCCGAGCACATCATGCTGGTTGACCTTGGGCGCAATGATATCGGACGGGTGAGCGAGCCGGGGTCGGTTGAAGTTACGCAGCTAATGGATGTGGAGCGCTACTCGCACGTGATGCATCTCGTATCCAATGTGAGCGGCAAGCTCCGTAAGGACTACACGAACTTCGACGCGCTGAGAGCCTGCTTCCCGGCGGGTACGGTGTCAGGCGCACCCAAGATTCGCGCCATGGAAATAATCGCGGAGCTGGAGCCTGACAAGCGAGGACCTTACGCCGGCGCTGTCGGCTATTTCGACTTCACCGGCAACATGGATACTGCTATCGACATTCGCACACTGGTAATCAAGGACGGGAATAGCGCACGCTCAGGCGGGCGGCGGCATCGTGTACGACAGCACGCCCGACTTCGAGTACCGGAGACGCTGCACAAGGCATCGGCGCTTATGCGCGCTATCGACGTCGCTGAAGAGGTCGGCCTCGCACGCGAATAGCCCTTAACTTGTCCGCTCTCACTCAGCGAGAGGAGCGGAGTGGGGGGCAGAACGTGGAGATTAAAGTGATACTACTGATAGACAACTACGACAGCTTCACATATAACTTGTACCAGTACCTATGCGAACTTGGAGCAGAGGTCGAAGTCGTACGAAATGACAAGACAACAATCGAGGACATCGAGGCGATGGCGCCTGAGAAAATAGTTATATCGCCCGGGCCTCGCACACCGAAAGAAGCGGGCATCTCCAATGACGTGATTATGCGATTTGGCGAGCGCACGCCGACGCTTGGTGTTTGCCTCGGACACCAGTGCATTGGCGACGCTTACGGTGGCACCGTCGGCGGCGCAGGCGAGATAATGCACGGCAAGATGTCGCTCATTCATCACGACGGCGAAGGCGTGTTCAAAGGCCTGCCGAACCCGTTCGAGGCGATACGCTACCACTCACTCGCGGTGTACAGGGAAGACATGCCCGAAGACTTGGAAGTAACCGCATGGACTGACAACGGTATCGTGATGGGCGTGCGCCATAAGAGCCATCCGGTAGAGGGTATTCAGTTCCACCCGGAGTCCATCATGACGAAGGTGGGTCACGACCTTCTGCGCAACTTCTTAGAGATGTAAGACGCCTGAGCCTGTTAAGGGAGCCATCAATGATAAGGGAAGCAATTGAGGCGGTCGTGAGCGGCGAGTCTCTCTCCATGGAAGCCGCCGCGCAGGTAATGAACGAGATTATGAGCGGGGAAGCGACGCCGGCGCAGTTCGGCGCCTTCGTCACTGCACTTAGACTGAAGGGCGAAACCGTGGACGAAATCGCAGGCATGGCGCAAGTCATGCGTGAGCATTCGCTGCACGTCGAGGTTGACGGCAATCTGGTCGATACCTGCGGCACAGGCGGCGACGGCTCAGGCACGTTCAACATTTCGACGGCAGCCGCATTCGTTGCAACCGGAGCGGGCGCGAAGGTCGCCAAGCACGGCAACCGCGCGATGTCTGGGTCGTCCGGCAGTGCCGATGTGCTGGAGGCGCTGGGCGCGAAGATTGACCTAAGTCCGGAGTCTGTGACTCGTTGCATCAACGAAACGGGGTTCGGCTTCATGTTCGCTCAGGGCTTCCACCCGTCAATGCGCTTTGCGGCAGGGCCGAGGCGCGAAATCGGCATTCGCACAGTGTTCAATATATTGGGTCCCCTTACGAACCCAGCGGGTGCGGGAGCACAGGTCATAGGTGTTGCGGAGGCTTCCATGGCTTCAAAGATGGCACAGGTGCTTGGAAGGCTCGGCAGTAGGCGAGCCTTTGTCGTGCATGGCAACGACGGACTGGACGAAATAAGCATCGCGGGTTCCACCCGCATTTGGGAACTCGAAGACGGCGAGGTAATCGGATATGAAATAGAACCGGAGGATGCCGGAGTAAGCACAGCTTCGCTTAGCGAAATTCAGGCTTCAGACTCTGAAGAGAGCGCAAGAATACTTCGTGCCGTGCTGGAAGGCGAGTCCGGCGCTGCGCGGGACATTGTGGTGCTAAACGCTTCGGCGGCTCTTCTTGCCGGTGGGCTCGTTGACAGCCTTAAGGAAGGTGTGCAAGCAGCGGCAGCATCCGTGGATTCCGGCAAGGCGCTCCAGAGCCTTGAGGCGTTTACCAAGCTGAGCCAGAGCCTCGAATAAGGTGCCTTGGATGACTCAAGAGAAACAGCCAAAGACTCAAGGCGGTTCATTCGGCGATGATTACATCACTTGCGAGATTGGTCGCAATAATCCGAAAAAAGTCTGGCAGACTGACTTAACGCAGGGACGCCAGCGGCTGTGAATTGGCTGCGTTGGAAGGCTACCATGCCGGTGCAGGCACGTACAGACGGCGGTAGTGCGAAATAAGACACGATGACGGAATACTATGGCTGACATCCTGCAGAGAATTGTCGAAGTTAAACGGGTCGAAGTCGAACGGCTTAAAGTCGAATTGCCTATCGCCGAACTCGAACGGCGTATTGAGACGCGTCCTCCTACATTGAATCTCGCAGGCTCACTGTTCGGCGATTCGGTTCGTATAATTGCGGAGGTCAAGAAGGCTTCGCCATCGAAAGGGCTTTTGCGCGAGGACTTCGATCCGAAGTGGCTGGCAAGGACATACGCCGACAACGGCGCCGCAGCTATCTCAGTGCTGACGAACGCTGACCACTTTCAGGGCAGCATTGAACACCTGTACGCAGTTCATACGGTTGCTAATCCACGGAAGATTCCCGTGCTGCGCAAGGAGTTCATCTTCGACGAGTATCAGATCTATGAGGCGCGGGCATACGGCGCGGACGCCATCCTGCTAATCGTTGCGATGCTGACGCCGGAAAAACTTAGATCACTGATGGCTCTTAGCCAGAAATTCTGGATGCAGTGCCTGATCGAAGTACATGATGAGGAGGAATTGAAGGTCGCGCTTGACGCGGGTGCAGAGATTGTCGGGATCAACAATCGCGACTTGCGCACATTCACCACCGACCTTGCGGTAACTGAGCGGCTGGCATCCAGAGTCCCATTCGGCGCAGTAGTCGTAAGCGAGAGCGGCATAAGCAACCGCGATCATCTGCGGCGCATTAAGTCGGCTGGGGCGCACGCCGCGCTAATCGGTGAGGCGCTTGTGACAGCGCCCGACGTAGGAGCAAAGCTGGGAGAACTGGTGTGACGGAGTTCAAAATTTGCGGTCTAAGAACCCTAGAGCATGCTATTGCCGCAACTGATGCAGGAGCGTCTTTGTTGGGCTTTGTGTTCGTGGAGGGCGTGCGCAGGCGGGTGTCGCTAGAACACGCACGCGAGGTTATTCAGGCCTTGCGTGAGATACGCGGTGCTGCATGTCCGCGAATTGTTGGGCTTTTTGCCAATCAACCTCTGCGCGAAGTCAATCACACGATAGAAAAGTGCGGGCTGGACCTGGCGCAACTCTGCGGCGACGAACCTCCGGACTATTGGGACAACGTGGACGCTTGGGTCGTGCGTCAGGTGAAAGTTGATGAAGGTCTGGGGCGCGAGTCTGCTATATCAGATGCCTTGCATCAAATTGAAGAGGTGGTGAAGCGGATTCACATCACATTGCTCGACAAGCGCGTAAGCGGCGCTCTCGGCGGCACGGGACACACCTTCGACTGGACCATCGCGTCAGAGATTGCCAAACGGCATCCGCTGTTCCTTGCAGGCGGGCTCGCGCCTGACAATGTGCGGCAGGCTATCGACACAGTGCAGCCCATGGGGTGTGGATGTATCCAGTGGCGTCGAAACTGACGGCGTCAAGGATACGGCAAAAATTGCGGCATTCGGAGACATGGTACGCAAAGCCGCCAGCAATGATACTGGGAATTACTATGGCTAAGCCACTTAACTGAAAGCGCACACGGTCCGTATCAAGGCGCCGCGCGAGCTTGTCTTTCAGATGATGTCGCACTTCGGAAGAGGCCGGCTGCCGGGCGACAACAACGAATCGTCCACAGTGCTGGAGCGGGACGAATCGTCTGACAGTCGAGTTTTCAGACTAAGGCGTTGTTTGCGACATACACTACAATCGAGGAAGTAACCTGTTTCCATCGGAGCGAATCACATTCGAGCACATATCAGGCCCGTTGCATTACGCTCGCGAGGAGTTCGCCTTCGAGGATGTTGATGGCAGGGAGACAGACTGACACACAGCGGCGAGTTTATTTGGAGCACGTTTCCATTCTTCGGCTGGTTTGGTGGCATCATTTATACGCGTCCAGTGTTCGAGCGCAACGCTCGTGAAGCACTTGGCGCAGGTCAAGGAGGCCGCAGAGGCGCGGAGCGGCCGCCCGCAGTCGCGTGTTTCCCCTCAATTGACCTCGTATTTCTTCCGGATCCGCCCTACCCGCCTCTAACGGCCTTGGTTACGGATGTGGATGACACCTTGGGACCCCAACTGGGTATAACTGCGCACATCGTCTTCTCCTCGCCTCCCGCGAATACGAGCAGAATGTCGTCAGGATGCGCCACGAGTGGCAGATAACGTGTCTCGTCTTCGGAAGCACCTCTTCCTCACTTCACTTCACCGGCCCGCTTTAAGTCGGCAAGAGTGCGCCTAATCATCGGCTGCAAAGCGACGCAAACGTCCTGCTTACTCCATCCGTCCCAAACTCTGCTCTCTCGCCGGAATGACGACTCCAAGTTCGCCCTGTCGCACAATCGCCGATTTGTCGTTGGTCGAGCCTACGGTCGATAGGGATGTTCCTAGCGCGGAAGCGACATCCGCGATAGTTCCAATTATTGTTTCAGGCCCTCCGCTTGTTCGAACCTGTCTGGGAGACTCACAGGCGAACACCGTCACGGTGCTCTGCGCTCGCTCGAAGCCGCGCTCCACGTGCAGCGGGTTCCAGTGCGTTTCGGTATCTGCTTCAGCGATGCAGTAGCTATACTTGCCCGGATGACCGAGAATGCTGCGATCGAACAAACCCGGTATGGCAGCGCAGGCGTTCATCAGGATGAGGCGCACGGCTCTCCCTATGGTTGCGTTGGCGCGGTTGCCCGGGCCGAAAAGGTTGTTGCGCGCGTTGATGTCGAGCTCACGAACAACGGGACCGTTCACGATTACCATAATCCCTGACCCGCCGAGGCTCGATGAAGGACCCACAAGGTTGAACTTCGGGTCTAACATCGCCTCGGACGCGGCGAGGACTACAGGCATGTACTCTGGAAGGCATCCCGCCATCACTGCGTTGGCAGCGACCTTCTCGACGTTGATCTCGCGCCGGGCGCTCAGCAATTCGCCGACCACTTCGTCGGCAGGTCTGCCGCCACGCTCGATGAACTCTGCCACTCATAGTTCGTTGGCGGCACGACAGGCAAGCCGTCGTCACATCCGAGCTGTCAGAGCTGCTCCATAGCTCATTGGACGTCCCATTCGATGTCTAGCTCCGGCGTATGCGGTCCAATGTGCGCCTCCCGGTGAGTTGAAAACAGCGGTAAATCTTCCATGATTCGGTTTGTCAGTAATATCAGTTTGTCGGTAATTTGGCGGGTGGTTGAATCAAACTTGACAGCTGGTTCGGCTTAACATAGGCTTTACGCCGTCAAACAGACAATAGACGATAGGAGGATCACATTGGCTTACCACTTGAGCATATTCACTGAAGGCTCCCGACCCTGAGAAGACGGCAAACTGGTATGTGAAGGCGTTCAACTTCGAGATTTTCAACGACAGAGGTGTGCGTCCAAGCGGCGACAGGTCATTGAGTGCAGACCGAGGATGGCACTATAATCCGCATTTCGGGACCACGCACCAATGAAGATATGGTAAGGGAGACGCAGGGGTTCACTTCGGGCTAGAGCACTTCGGAATCACTGTTGACGACATGGACGCCGAACTTGAGCGGCTTCAGGCACTCGGCGCTGTACTGACGAGGGTCCAAATTCCAATCCCGGCGGGCCGACGATCGCTTTCATCAAGGTTCCCGACGATGTACGCATCGAACTACTTCAGCTTCCCGATTAATTGAAAATCAGTAGAGACGGGAGTCATTGAATTGGCAAGAGAAGTTTTCTTCCCCTACCCAACAACAGCCCGTAGGGTTTTCTCCGGCAGCGCGTGTCGGCAACCAAATCTTCGTTGCGGGACAAGTTGCGAAACGATGCGAACGGTGTACTTGTCGGCGTCGGAGACGCCCGGGCGCAGACAGTGGCAGTGCTTCAAGAATGTGGAGGCTGCGCTGCAGCCGCTGGCGCAGGCTGGGACGACGTCACGAAGATAAACCTGCTTTCTGGTGAGCGCAGACGACACGCCGCTTACGCTGAAGTACGGAACGGCATATTCCCTGAGAACGGGCCTGCCAGCAGCACGGTCATCGTGACGGCGCTTGTCCGTCTGAAATGCTGGTGGAAGTCGAAGACTACGCAGTTCTCCAATAAGCGTGAGACAGAAATGCCCGAAGACTGTATCTTCTGCAAGATAAGGGACGGCGAAATCCCCAGCGAAAAGTTGCACAGCGACGTCGACTGCTTCGTCATACGCGACATTAACCCGGCAGCACCCACGCATCTGCTGATAATCCCCACGCGGCATTTCGCTACGCTATCCGAGCTTGCGGACGAACACGCGGGGATTTACGCGAGCATGTTCGTAGTGGCGCGGGCGATGGCGGAGCGCGAGGGAGTCGCGGATAGTGGATATCGCCTGATAATTAACCAGGGGAGCGATGGAGGCCAGGAGGTGATGCACTTTGCACATGCATCTTCTAGGCGGACGGCAATTGGGAGTGATGGGTTAAAAAGGTCGCCCCTGTTAGGTGAGTCTTCCGCCCTACACTTTCTTCGGCAACCTCAGAATGGTATGGCCTCCCCTCACCAAAGGGGAGGCAACTTTGTGCTCTATGCGTCAAGGACTAGACAGGCATAGTCCGCCCGCTATGTGCCCTGCCGACGCGCGCCGCCTCTTCGCCTAACGGTCCGCCCGACGAGCATACCATCACGCCTTCGTCCAGCATTTCCGCTACATTGTCAGGGCTGACTCCGTTGAGGAAGAACAGTCCGGCATCTCGGCATGCCTGAAACACCCGCTCTCGCGCAGCCATAAGTTCCGGGGGAATAGGATTCGGTAGGCTCTTGTAACCGTGCGACATGCTCATGTCTCCGGGTCCCCACTCTGCAAACGCGATACCCGATACGCGGGTGCTCAGTTCGCAGTTATGAAGGGCGCGTTTGTTTTCGATTTTGAGTCCTAAAAGCAGTTCACCGTCAGGATTGAGAGGCCACGGGTCTGCCTTATCAAGATATTCGTCCGGTGATACGCCCCATATCTCGCAAGCGGATGCCTGTGCACCAGCGCCTCGCGTTCCTCGACCGATGAGGTCGCCGACGCCGAGGTTCTGAAAGGTGTAGCGGCAGGACTCAACGAATGACTTGACGGCGCCCGGTGTCTCCGCGTTGCAGAGCAGGATTCCGTGTACGCCGCGCGCGAGAATCTGGGCGGAACTGCCATGCGTTGTAGCGTACAATGTCCTCGCTTCCACCATCAACAGGCACTTCCACAAGCACGGCCGGGGTACGGTGTCCGCTGTTTGTCGGGCCTCCATCGACCAGGCCGCGCATGAACTGGTCCAGCCCCGCCATGTCGAATGCCCCGTGTTCCATGCCGACGTTGATGTAGTCAGCGTAGGTCTTCGCCATTGACTTGCCGGCTTCATAAGACAGTACAGCGCCAGAGTGCGCGCCCGTGTAGTAGATAGGCTGCCCTTGTTCCAGCAGTTCGATCGCTCGGTTGATTCGCTTCGGCATGTTCTGAGTTTCCTTCCATTCAGTTTCCGATTGCGGGCATGTGTTACCAGGAATAGTGTTGCTGACTTATACGGGCATTTCTCTTCCGGTGATTTTGCGCCCTATAGCTGCGCCCTCCTCGCCGACACCTGAGAGCACTTTAACGCCATCGCCCATAAGCTTGTTCACCCTATCCTCAACGCTGATAGTGAAGTCGTTCCAGCCGCATAGGAAAGCAACCCCAGCTGCATCCAGGGCCGTCTTGATGCGCAGCCTCGCGGCGTCCATGTCGTCGGGATACGGCGGATCGTGCGCGTCCGAATAGCCGAACGACAGGCCCATATCGCCGGGTCCCCACTCAGCGAAGGCAATGCCGGGCACAGCCGCACATTCCTCGCAGTTGGCGAGATGAGCGCTTATTCTCTAGCTTCAGGCCGAGGAATAACTCGCCGTCAGGGTTGAGCGGCCACGGGTCTGCCAGCTTCATGTACTCATCAGGCTCCACTCCCCAGATATGCGCCGCACCGCGCTGCCCTCCGCCTCCGCGACGTCCCACACCAAGCCCATCGCCCACACCAACTGTCTGGAACGGGTATCGGCAGGACTCAACGAATGCCTGAACGGCGCCCGGCGTCTCCGCATGGCACAGCAGGATACCGTGTATGCCGCGAGCGAGCGCCTGCTTCATCATCCATGAGTTGGCACGGACGACATCCTCATTCGTGCCGTCCGTCGGGATGGTCATGATGACAGGCGGAGTGCGATGACCGCTTGGTGTAGGTCCGCCGTCCACCAGGCCGCGCATGAATTCGTCCAGCGCCGACATGTCGAACGAGCCGTGCTCCATCTCCACGCCGATGTAGTCTGCCCATGTGGAGGCCATCGCCTTGCCGTTCTCATATGACAGCTCATGAGCACCGGCGTTGTATATGGGCTGGCCCTGTTCCAGAAGCTCAATCACCCTGTTTATTCGCTTAGCCATGCTTCACCTCGATTGCAGTACGATTCCGCTAGGTCAACGCGGAGTTTATCTGAAATAATGCCTCACTGCCAGCCCCGTCGCAGTCGAACGATGGACTCGTAGCGCGCTCAACGGGCCGGCACAATGGTCTTGATTTCCGCCATGCACGAGCCGTCCTCGACTGTCAGCACGGCGATTGTCGCAGCAACCATGAATGAAGGATAACCCTGCCCTGGATTCAGGTACAGGACGCCGTTGATCGTCTCATTCAAAGGTTCATGGATGTGTCCGTAGAGAATGACATCGGGCATTTCCTCGAAGTCACCAAGCAGGTCTTCCGGAGGGAACTCAGGTCCTCCCCAGGCGGGATGAGTCACCCCGATCGTGACACCTTCAACTTCGAGGGTCTGCACATACGGAACCGCGCGCCGCACATCAGGAGGGTCTGAATTGCCGTGTACAATGATCGTCCGCTTTGCCGCGTGACGTAGTCCTTCAGCAACATCCATACGCACCAGGTCGCCACAGTGAATTGCAATGTCGGCGTTCGCAACCTCGGCGCGGATGCCGGGATGCACCTCGTCCCAAGTGCGACAGTGAGTGTCTGAAAATACCACAATACGTGTGCTCATGACGGGCTGCATCTTACCACAATTCCTGTGAGCGGCATTGATATGTTGAAAATGTGTTTTGTGTTACAATCCTCGCATTGTTTGATAGGCCGTAAGCGTATGCTCGCGATTTCAATGTGCGAACTCACAGTATAGCTGGAGGTACAGGCTATGGTTTCCAATGGTCATTACCCCGGCAACGGTCCCCTCAAGGGCATCCGCGTGCTGGACATGACAGTGTGGCAGTTCGGTCCGGTGAGCGCCGCCATGATGGGCGACATGGGCGCCGATGTCATCAAGATTGAGGCGCTCGACGGCGATGCGGGCCGCGGGCTATGGCGCGCATCCACGCTAAACATGGATCTGGGCGAGGGACGCAACGCCTACTTCGAAGCCTGTAACCGCAACAAGAGAGGCATCGCGGTCAACCTTAAAACCGAGGCGGGACGGCAGATAATCTATAAGCTCGTCAAGGACGCTGATGTGTTCGTTCAGAACTACCGCCAGGGGGTGGCGGAGCGTCTGGGCGTTGGATATGAGGCCCTGCACGAGATTAACCCAATGCTGGTTTACGGCTCCGGCAACGGATATGGCCCCGAAGGCCCCGATTCGCATCTTCCCTCGTTCGACGGCTGTGGGCAAGCGCGCGCAGGTCTGATGATGTCGGCAACGCCGCCGGGCGCAGAGATACCCTACGCGCATCTCACAGGGCGTGTCAGACCAGATGGGCGCGATAATGCTCTGCCTTGGCGTTCTATCAGCGCTGGTATGCCGCGGTCAGCAGGGCATCGGTCAGAAAGTGGAAGCATCGCATCTGAGCGCTAACATGTGGCTTCAAGGGCTTGGCATAAGCATGAGCCTGCTCAACGAGGGACGGAGCTTCTCCTCTTTTGACCGTGAAGCGCCGACTAACCCACTGGCGAACTTGTACAAATGCAAGGACGGGCGCTCCATACAGCTTATGCACTTGCAGCCCGATCCGTACTGGAGGCCGCTCGCACGCGTGATGGGCATGGACGATATAGTTGACGATCCGCGCTTCTCGGAAATGAAGGCGCGGGCAGAGAATTCAGTAGAACTTGTACGTATTATGGACGAGAAGTTCGCGTCCAAGACGGCTGACGAATGGGATGCCATCTTCCGCGAATTTGAGCTGGATTTCATATACGCCAAGGTGCAGGCGATCGAAGAACTCGATCAAGATGTGCAGGTTGTCGCCAACAACTACATCACAGACTTTGAGCATCCTGTACTGGGCGGCGTCAAGATGTGCAATCATCCAAACATCTATAGCGAGACGCCTGCAGGCATTTGGCGCGAAGCTCCTGAACTTGGACAGCACACGGAAGAGATTCTGATCGATGAGCTCGGTTACGATTGGGACGACATCGGCGAATTGCAAAATGAGGGGGCAATACTCTAGCGAAAACCAAAATGGTTGACGGAATGGAGTCGAAGAATAAGCTACGTCCATTCCAGCCTTCCCCACGCGGGAGAAGGAAGTCTTACAAACATAGGAGGAGAAATGGCACAGATAGACGGCGGGCGACTGTTCGCCAAGGCACTGAAAAAAGAGGGTGTGGAGTATGTATTCACGCTGAACGGCGGACACATCTATAACCTCTACGAGGGCTGCGTTGACGAAGGCATCAAGGTCATAGACTTCCGGCACGAGCAGGTCGCCGCACACGCCGCAGAGGGCTGGGCAAAAGTTACCGGCAAGCCGGGTGTGGCGATCGTCACGGCAGGTCCTGGCGTCACCGATGCCGTAACGGGCATCGCCAACGCGTTCCAGGCTCCAAGTCCGATGATTCTTATCGGAGGCAACGCTGGCATTACCGACCATCTGCGAGGCGGCCTGCAGGACTTCGATAGCGCGACCTTCCTGAAGCCGGTCACCAAGTTTTCGGAGCAGGTCAAGCGCGTGGAGCGCATACCCGAGTATGTCTCGATTGCGTTCCGCCACGCGACTTCCGGCGTTCCGGGCCCAGTGTATCTTGAGATACCCATCGACATTGTTGGTGGCGTTGCGGAGGAAGAGGATGTGAAGTATCCCGGCAGTTACCGAACGCAGGCCAAAGCATTCGGCGACCCGGAGTACGTCAAGCAGGTAGTGGACATACTGCACACCACTGAGCGGCCGATGGTGCTGGCAGGGTCTGATGATTTGGTGGAACGACGCATCCGAGGAACTGCGGGAATTCGTCGAGATGATCGACTCCCCTGTGTTCCTGAACGCGATGGGGACGCGGCAGCATCCCTTCAGATCATACTAACCTCGGCAGCCTTGGCAGGCGCTACGGCCTTGTCAAGTCCGACACTGTGATTCTGATCGGCACTCCGGTCGACTTCCGACTCGGCTACGGCGCGGACAGCATGTTCCCGCAGAGCCCACGTCTCATTGAGATTATGATAGACGGCAGCAAGGTCGGGCAGAACCGTGACATCGATGTGGGCGTAGTCGGCGACTCTAAGGCAGTGCTCCGCCAGATTATGGACGAGCTACGAGCAACCGGATACAAGTCCCCTGGCAAGGGCTGGGTAGAAGAGGTCATCACCGAAGACCAAGCGCTGAAGGCAGCCGACGAGGGCATGCTGAACAGCGACCAGTCACCCATTCATCCGATGCGCCTGATGAAGGAGCTTCGGGATATACTGGACAGGGATGCCACGGTCATCGGCGACGGTGGCGACATCGTCACTTTCGCGGCGCGCGTGCTGAACATCAACGAGCCCGGACACTGGCTGGACCCGGGTCAGTTCGGCTGCCTGGGAGCTGGCAGCGGCTTCGCGGCGGCGGCGCAGCTTGCGCGACCCGGCAAGCAGGTGTGCATCGTATACGGTGACGGCGGCTTCGGTCTCACGGGCTTCGATGTAGAGAGTTACGTGCGCTTCAATCTGCCGATCGTATCCATCGTGGGCAACAACGGCGCGTGGAACCAGACGACGCAAGGCGTCGTGCGGCGCGGAATGCGCGGCATCGGCACATACCTGTCGCAGGAAACCGACTATGCCAAGATTATGGACGGCATGGGCGGCTACGGCGAGCGCGTAACCGACCCCGAGGAGATTCGCCCTGCCCTTGAGCGTGCGTTCAACTCCGGCAAGCCCGCTCTGCTCGATGTGGTTACCGACCAGGATGTGGCTTACGCGTCGATGGGCGGACGCTCACGCCAGCAGCGCCAGTATTAGACAGTTTGATGAGTCGATAATTTAGTCTGTTGGGCGGTCCCAAATGGGGCCGCCCTTCGCATATCTGCCCTTCGCATATCTGATTAAAACAACAGCGGGCGGGAATAGACATGAAAAGTAATCACCAAACGCGAAGCGGTCCCTTATCAGGCATGCGCGTCATCGACTGGACGATGTGGCAGTTCGGACCCGTCTCCACGATGATGCTCGCCGATCTTGGCGCGGATGTCATCAAGGTCGAGTCGCTGGACGGAGACCACGGCAGGCAGTTCGCCACAGTCGCAGGAGTGGCGAACGCGCTTGAAAGTAGCAGCGCATACTTTGAGAGCCTGAACCGCAACAAGCAGGGCATCGCGCTCGACCTTAAGCATCCGCAGGGTCTGGAAGTGATGCTGAAACTCGTGAAGAAATCTGACATCTTTGTGGAGAATTTCCGCCAAGGTGTGGCGGAGCGCCTTGGGCTGGGCTACGAAGACTTGACGCAATTGAACCCGTCCCTGATTTACGCCTCTGCGACAGGCTATGGCCCCAAAGGCGATGATTCCGGCAAGCCTGCTTTCGCGCTGACCGGCGAGGCGCGCGCAGGATCTCTGTGGTGGGCGGGCCCCGACGACGGCATTCCCTACAACATCAACGGCATGGCAGACCAGATTGCGGGCATCATGCTTTCCTACGGCGTTCTCGGCGCGGTAGTAGCGCGGGAACGATTCGGTGTATCCCAGCGCGTGGATGTGTCGCACCTCGGCAGCCTCATGTGGCTGGGCGGCATGAGAGACGGCATTGCCCTGCTTTCTGGCAAAGAGTTCGAGAGACAACCCCGAACACGCGCCGGCAACGTGCTATGGAACTGTTACCGCTGCAAAGATGATAAGTGGATTGCATTCTCGATGAGCCAGGGAGACAGGTACTGGCCTACTTTCTGCAAAGCCTTGGCAAGGGAAGATCTAGCTACCAACGAGCGATTCGCCCGAATGGCAGCGCGCAACGAGCATCGAGAAGAACTGATCGCAATTCTGGACGACATATTCATCAAGTACACTCGCGCGGAGTGGGAAGAGCGCCTCGACGCCGCGGGTGATCTGATATGGGAGCGTGTGCAGTCGATAATGGACTTGCCCGAAGACCCACAAGTTACGCAGAACGACTATCTCATCGACTTCGAGCACGCACACTGGGACCCACCAAGTGGCACCAGACGCCGATTGCATTCAGTGAGACGCCGGTGTCAACGCAAAGGCTTGCGCCCGCACACGGCGAACATACTGAATCTGTGTTGATTGAACTATTGGATTACACGTGGGACGATATAGCAGTCCTCAAAGAAGCGGGCGTTATCCTGTAAATCCTTGACGAAGGGTTGCGAACCGCGACTAAATGCGTAAAATAACGGCAGGCAGGTACGAATCGCACGATCAAATAGCAAGGAGCATTGCAATGACTCAGCAAGAAACGCGCAATCCCGACGAAGCGTATGTGGGCAAGGACTTAGGCATCAACGAATTCACCGCGTCTGACGAAATACTGCAATCTATTTCGAGGGTCTAGACGTGGATTCGTCCGTCTATTCTGAGAAGTCTCCCTATGGCAAGCCAGTCGTGCCTTCCATGATTCTCACCAATGTCGATGGCGGCTTCAGCGGCGCCGGGTTCAACGATAACTTCGGGAACTTGTGGATTCGCCAGGAGTGGGATCTGCACAAGCCTATGCATCCGGCCGAGATCTACAGGCGCACGTCAACCGTCGAGGACATATATGAATGGCGTGACCGCACGGTCGTAAAGCAGGTGGTCCACCTCTGGTCGGCGGATGATGAGTTGATGGCGCGAGGAACACACCATCAGAGCTACCTTCTTGGCAAGAGCCACCTCGGCACGGTCAAGTTGCGCGATCCCAAGAAGAAAGAAGGAATCCGCAAGTTCAATGTTCCGGAGGGCGAGGCGATTGGCCCGGTCGAGAGCGACATCACGATAGAGATGTGCGGCTCCTTCTTCCACGGCAACAAGAACTACCATACCGACAAGCAGGCGGCCGAGGAGCTGGGCTTCGAGGAGGTTGTGGTTGGCGGAAGAATGACGATGTCTTATATTGGCGACATGATGGATCGACGATTTGGCAAGGGCTGGTACGAGGGTGGTAAGCTCGACATCAAGTTCACCAACATCGTCTGGCCAGACGACCACGTTATCGCCCGCGGAGTCATCACCGACCGCGTGCAGGAAAACGGCGGCACCCGCGCAAATGTAGCGGTCTGGATGGAGAAGCCTGACGGCACCGTATGCATCGTGGGCACCGCGAGCGCATTGGAATAGATCCACACACTCAGGTTCAAGACATTTCAGGGGCGGTCTTCGGGCTGCCCCTTTTGCATCAACTGCCCTGCAGAAACCTGACAGTGAGCCCAAAATGCTATGCCAGTCCTGTACATCGTTTCAACCCCAATAGGCAATCTCGAGGACATCACGCTGCGCGCCTTGCGCGTGCTTCGCGAAGTCGGCATGATTGCCGCTGAGGACACGCGCGTTACCCGCAAGCTTCTCAGCCACTATGATATACACTCGCGTCTGACCAGTTTCAACGAGCACAACCAGTCAGCGCGTCTGCCGGAATTATTGACAATACTGCAAGCCAATGATGTGGCGCTTGTGTGCGACGCAGGGACACCGGGTGTGAACGATCCCGGACGAGCACTGGTGCAGAGTGCCTCAGACAAGGGCATTGAGGTTGTGGTGATTCCCGGCGCCTCTGCGGTAACTTCAGCGGTTGCAGTGTCCGGCCTTGTTGAAGAGGCATTTTTCTATCTCGGATTTCTGCCGCGCAAGAAGGGCGAGCGCAAGGCTTTGCTGGCATCCCTGGCGTTGGAAAATCGCCCTACTATTTCATTTGAATCGCCAAGGCGCCTCCAACAGTCCTTGAAAGACATCCTTGAGACTATTGGCGATCGGCGCATTGCCGTATGCCGTGAGATGACGAAACTACACGAAGAAGTCTTTCGCGGCACTGTTTCCGAGGCAATTGAGCACTTTGAACAGCCTAGGGGCGAGTTCACGCTCGTAATCGAAGGTAAGGCCACTGGTAAGCAGGACGACACTGATGCTGAGGAATTGGCATTGTCTTTGCTGGACGGGCTGAGGGTGCAGGGCGCGGGCGCAAGACACGCGGTCGAGCATGTAACCGCCGTCACCGGATTGTCTCGTCGGCAGGTGTACCGAATGTGGCTTGATGGCATTGCTTCAACTCACCATTCCGGCACCCAATAGGTTATCTTGTCTCATTACCTTGTGTTATCATGTCAGACGGTAATCAAGGTTATTTAGAGCGTAAACATTAATGTCTGAGCGAATTCTTGCAGCCGTCGCCTGGCCCTATGCGAACGGCTCCATCCACATAGGACATGTGGCAGGAACATACCTGCCAGCCGACATTTTCGCCCGCTATCACCGCATGAAAGGCAATGAAGTGCTGATGGTGTCGGGCAGTGACGCCCACGGCACTCCTGTTACGCTTACCGCAGAAGAACAGGGGGTCAGCCCGGAGGACATCTTCAGCAAGTATCAGGCCGAATTCTGGACAGCTGGAGCGCCTCGGTATCAGTTTCGACCTATTCACGACAACGCACACAGGCAACCATGCGGAAGTATCTCAGCGCATCTTCAGCAGGCTCTATGAGCGGGGATTCATCTACAAGGACACGATGGTCCAGCCGTATTGCGCGAGCGAGCAGCGATATCTTGCAGACCGCTATGTTGAAGGCACGTGCCCACACTGCGCTTTTGATGGAGCGCGCGGCGATCAGTGCGACAACTGCGGCCGCACGCTGGATCCAAAGGACTTGCAAGGCATGACCTGCCGTATATGCGGCGGCACGCCCGAATTCAGAGAGACCGAGCACTTCTTCCTGAAACTAAGCGCCTTCGAGGACCAGCTTCTGGATTGGGTACGCAAGCAGGATCACTGGCGTCCCAATGTACGCAATTTTACTATTGGCTACCTGGAGGGCGGGCTGCACGATCGCGCTATAACGCGCGACATCGAGTGGGGCGTTCCCATACCTCTCGACGGCTACGAGGACAAGCGCCTATATGTGTGGTTCGAGGCGGTCATAGGGTATCTGTCAGCATCCATCGAGTGGGCGCACAACAACGGCACTCCTGAGGCGTGGAAGCCCTTCTGGGAGGACGGAAGCCGCGCTTACTACTTCATGGGCAAGGATAACATCCCGTTCCACACCGTCATCTGGCCTGCGATGCTCTTGGGCTACGGCGGACTGAACCTTCCTTACGATGTGCCCGCCAACGAGTATCTCAACCTTGAGGGCTTCAAGCTCTCCACAAGCCGCAATTGGGCTGTGTGGCTTCCTGACTACCTCGATCGCTACGAGCCGGACCCGCTGCGCTATGTCATAGCCGCCAATCTGCCTGAGACTTCCGACTCCGACTTCTCATGGAGAGAATACGTGCGCCGCAACAACGATGAACTCGTGGCAACGTATGGCAACCTCGTTCACCGGGTTCTGTCCATGGTAAGCCGCAATTTCGACAGCGTGCTGCCCGATCCCGGCGAGCTTGACGAGGTGAGCGGCGCGCTCTTGGCAGAAGCGCAGCGGCGCTTCGACGAAACTGAGGCATATTTGGAAGCGGTTCGGCTGCGACAGGCGCTCCAATCTTCGATGGCGCTCGCGCAGACAGCGAACCGCTATCTCGACCAGAAGGAGCCGTGGCGCGCCGTACGGAGCGACAAAGCTGATGCCGCTCAGACGCTTTGGACGGCTGTATCTGTGATAAATTGCCTCAAGACCACCCTCTACCCCTTCCTGCCATTCAGTTCGCAGAAACTTCACACCATGTTGGGATAGATGGTGATGTAGAAGAGTCAGGATGGACCTGGGATGCGAACGAACTGCGACCTGGCCAAGCCCTGCAACGCCCCACTCCTCTATTTAAGAAATTGGACGAAGAGGTCGTGGCGGCGGAAGAGCAGAGGCTGGCCGACTAAGTCTTTAGATTTAAGGAATCGCGTCAAGTGCAATCAGTATCGTTTTACGAACCCGTCATGGAACGTCTGGAAAAGGTCAACAATTCCCTGACGGAGATGGCAGAGAAAAAGCACCCGTTTCTGGCGAGACTACTTGACCACACGTTTTCCACACCGGGCAAGAACATAAGACCCGCGATTACCCTGCTGGCATCGAATTTCTACCCGCACGACGAGCGCAATACTGAAAAGATGGCTACGGGTGTCGAGCTGCTGCATATCGCCTCGCTCATTCACGACGACACTGTCGATGGGGCAATGCTGCGCAGGGGCAAGATGACTATCAGCAGCCTTTGGGGTCCGAAGACAGCAGTTTTGGCGGGCGATTATATCTTCGCCGCATCCGCGACGTTGGTATGCGACACCGGCAACATTCGAGTAATCAGGCGCTTTGCTGAAACAATAATGGAACTTTCCAGCGGCGAGCTTCAAGAGATGGCGGAGACCTACAACCCCGAGCAATCTATGCAGGGCTACCTCGGCCGCATCTACAACAAAACTGCCTCCCTGTTTACGACTGCCGCGGAGTCAGGCGCTATCTTGAGCGGCGCGCCGGAAGCGTGCTCTCAGTCCATGCGCAGCTACGGACACAATCTAGGCATGGCGTTTCAGATCGTGGACGATATTCTTGACTTCGACGGCACAGAAGAGGAAATTGGCAAGCCAATAGGAAGCGATCTCGCCAACGGAGTCGTTACGTTACCCACGCTGATTGCGATGCAGCGAAGGTCTTGCTGCGACGCCGTGAAGCGCGTGCTAGCCAATCCGGACGACGAGGACCTGATGAAAGAAGTCGTCAGTCTCATTCAAGACGATTCCGTGCTGGAAGAGTCCTATGAGTTCGCTAGCCGCTATTGCGAAAAGGCTCTGTCAGACCTAAGCGGGCTACCACCCTGCCCTTCCCGCGATTCGCTGGAAGAGTTGGTAAGTCACGTGAAGGTGCGGCGCAACTAATCCTGCCCGACCATTCACTCAAGATTCCATCAAGCGTATTCAGCAACTTTGATCGCTGATATGAGGACGCCCGCACTGCTGTCGTGCGGCTCATTCCCTCCACAAGATCTCACCACTGCCAATAGTCATCGTCACCCGCACATCGGATAAATGCTCAGTCGGAATGCTCGTGAGGTCGTGGCTTAACACTGCAAGGTCTGCGCGCTTACCCGGAGCAATTGTACCCACTTCATCATCTCGGCAAGTTGCATGGGCGGCACTCTTCGTGTGCATCACAAGTGCCTCCATCGCCGTCAAGCGTTCACCAATGCCGATTTCTTCACCCGAAGTTGCTTGGCGTCTAACGGAAGCATGCATCGCCTCCAACGGATTTGGCGCGCCCACGGGCGCGTCCGACGATGCAGCAAGCACAATGCCGCTATCAATGAGTGATTTGAAGCGATAGAGCCACTTCGCATCGGGGCCGAACTCGCTAAGGTATTGCGCGCCGTTGTCGCTCAGGAAACTTGGCTGCGACACGACGACCGGACGCGAGCGCACCACTGCATTCAGCACATCAGGAGGACATTCGGAGGCGTGTTCGATGCGGTCCCTCAGACCACGAACGTGGTTCCCCTCAAGCGCCTGAGCTGCGGCAGTGACCGCATCCGCTTCGACCGCGTGTATCGCCACCGGGAAACCACGACTGTGGGCAACCTCGATGGCGCTTTGCAAGTCGTCGGGTTGTGGATAAAGCCTACCACCTGTGCGAGTCAGCATTATCTTCACATGCCCCAGCGCTGATATTCCATCGTCGGATCCAAAACTCAATCCCGCGCTTTCAAACTCCTTAACGCGAGCGTAAGCGGGCATCACAGATAGGTGTGGAGAGAATGCGCCAATACTTCTGAAGTGTCTCAAAGTATTCCATCTATCGAATGAGTTTGATGGCGTGGCATCCATCACGGAAGTTACGCCCTGCGAGACGAAATTACGGCTTGCCTGTGCAACGCCTTCGCTGAGTTCAACGCCGGAAAGTGGCGCGATGCGTTTGTCCAGCCAGGCGTCCAACTCCAGCAGCAAGCCATTAGGTTCGGCGCTGTCCAAGTCACGCGCGATCGTGCCTCCAGGCGGCTCCTCAGTAGTCCCCCTGTGATGCCGACACGCTCAAGCGCAACGCTGTTCAGGACGCAAGCATGACCTGAGCGATGGTTCAGACGCACGGGATGATTGGGCGCGGCGCGGTCTAAGTCCCAGCGGGTCGGGTGTCGCTTTTCGGGCAACTGAAATTCACTGTAGCCAGTTGCGCGAATCCATTCGCCGGCCTGTGTGCGTCCGGCGCGCTCCCTAATAGCATCAACCATGTCCTGAATGCCGGGAGCCGCGTTCGGCGAGCAGTCAACGGAAACGAGACTGGCCGCGTAGGCGAGAACGTGGCAGTGCGCGTCTATAAAGCCGGGTACGATAGTCTGGCCGCCGCAGTCAATGACCTTGGCGGCGGCTATGATTGTGGGTGAAACGCGATGATGCTCCCCTACCCAAGCAACTCGAGCACTGTCAACGACAATGGTGCTCGCTCGCGGCTGGTCGGCGTTAAGTGTCAACACATTGGCGTTAACGAGCACTAGAGCCGGGCCCGGCTTGCCGGATGCTCATTTCGGTTAACAGCGTCTGTTACAGGAGTCAGACAGGAATAGGACTATTGAATCACAGAGTGGGGCGTTGCTTCGATTCGCCTAACGACAATCTTGTCGCGCTCCAGCATGTCAGGAATGGGAGGCGCAATTTCGTTCTTCCAAGTATCGCTATCGTACACGGCTTCGTACAGGCGCTCGCGATCTTCTTCGCTGGCGAACCGGCGCACCCAGATGTACAGGTCGTCCTCTTCCCCACCCACGAAGCTCCCGACTATGACCATGCCCTTGCCCGTCTGGAAAGGAATGATGGTCTCTTCCATAAACCTGACCCAGTTTTCTCTCTGTCCCGGCTTTGTGCGGTACTCTCTCAACTCAAAGAACATCGCAACCTCCTTCAGTGATTTAATCTGCGAGTAATGTATTCGCGCCGATGGAATGTGTCAAGATGCACCGCTCCCCGACAACTTCATCACACGAAAAGGCGTCACGTTGCGAACCGGAAGACAAACGCACTGGCAAGGATGTATAGCCCGATCAGCGCCGCCGATTCAAAGGTGACGAATCTGGACGGACGCCTTCTGTTGCGCACCATAAGGCCGATCAATACTATGCTGGTCATGACTATGGCGAAGATGGCCGTCGCCTCGTGTATCGGCGATATTGAAGACCACAATGGTCTGCCAACCAGCACCAAGTCGTCCATCGTGAGAATAAAGCCCATATTGAACAGGTTACTGCCGAGAAGGTTGGTTATTGCCAGTTCCGGGGCGTTGATGCGCAGTGCCGCAAGCGAAGCTGCCAACTCCGGCAATGATGTGCTGAATGCCAGGAATTGTGTCCCAACAAAGCTCGCCTCCCAGTTCATGGCATGCGCGATGCCTTCCCCTGTCTTTGCCAGCCATACCGCCGCGCCGATAATAGCCACCGCAGCCATAGCATAGGTTATCGCAGCGCGCAGGAGACTCTCTGATTCGTAGTTCTGGTCGGTAGATTCTCCCTGTTCATCGATCCGCGCGACCCGGTATATCAGGTACATCGAAAACAGGAAGAAAATGAGCAGAATGATGGTGATCGGGCTGACAAACCATCCTGACAAAGCGTCCTTCGGCAGGTGTTCGTGGAAGTAAACGGCAAGAATGGTTATGGAGATGACCAGAATGCCAAGGATGCCCACGAAGACCGAAGTCGTGCTCACGCTGTTCAGAATTGGCGTATTGGTATTGCGCCAGAATAAATCCAGGATGCCGATTATGAACAGGTTGAACAGGTTGCTACCGAAGGCATCGCCGGCAGCGAGGTCAGGAGCGTTAACCAAAGTGATTGCGCCAACCCCCGTGCCAAGCTCCGGAAGCGATGTCGCTGTGGCGAGCAGCACCACGCCAGCGAAGGAGCGTCCTAAGCCGGTTCTCAATGCGATTACATCGGCGGATTTGGCTAGAAAGTTTGAGGCAAAAAGAATTACGCCGGCGGCGACTAAAAGTTGGATCCAAAGCCCTGTAATGGACTGGGCTATTTCAATCAAGCGGTCTCCTCTGCACCATTCGGTACGGTATATCCGCGCAAAAAGCGACCCCGATTCAACGGGGCCGCGAATTTACGTTGTTCACTATTTCTCAGATTAATCCTAGCCTCTGTTGCATGTCAGCAAGTCGGCGCGATCCCCCCACCTGTCTAGGAATCGACCGTAGTTCTTGCGGCTGAGTTCGTCTCGCTCTGCCTCTGCCAACTCTGACCAGACTCGATGTTCATGCTGCCCAACTTGTAACTCCGGATTCGCAACAATTCTATACCCTTGTGCTTTGAATTGGAAACTAAAGTCGAGATCCAGGTTTCGATAGAATCGGAATGCCTGACGGGGCAATCCAACTTCCTTCAGCCTTTCTCGCCTGAAGGCAAAGCAATAGGCTTGCATCGCATCCATATCCCCGCTCTCACCCTCTCCGTCGTGGAAATGGTGCATGTCTGTAGTCCGCAGTCCAAATGGACCTGTAACTCCAATGGTCTCGTCTTCGAGCGCCTGCTCAATCGGACCGAATATATTGCCATTTACTTCAACGCTTGTATCCAGCATTACGACAATCTTGCCAAGACACTGCTTTAGCAGAATCCTCTTGGCAGACCCCTCTCCCAGGGGATGATCGACATGTATTACTCGTAGGCGATCATCTTGTGCAGCAGCCTCTTCCACCATTCGTCGGTGCCATCTACAGAACCGTTGTCAACCACTACTACTTCGGCATCACGGTCCCCAAGCCAATGCAAGGCGCTGTTAACACAGCGCTGTACATCGCCCTGGTAGTTGCAAGCAACTATGCCAACGGATATATCAACTCGATTGGCTTCGCCTATAAACGGCGCCACTTCTGCCTCTGAGGAGTAAGTGTGCCACCGCTCCTGCCGCATCTCCCACTCCGTTTTTGGGCGCACGAAAGTTGCAACGCCACCGTCCTGCACTATGAAGCCTGAATCACTAAGGTCTGCGCGAATGGAGTCTGCCCGAGCGTAGTCCTGTTGTCCGCGGTGCTCTGAGCGATGCGAAATCTCGTCGGCGACTTCGTTGGGCACCCTATATTGTTCAACGACGCTATTCAAGCTGAGACCAAGAACACGGTCGTAATCTGAAAGCAGTTGCAGCTTGGTCGCCGGCGACAGATCAGAGTGCACCAGCTCCCAGGTGAGCGCGAGCGCACCGGGCATATTGAGGTTGTCATTGACCATGGATTCGAATCGACGTTGCCACTGCTCTATCGCCTCCGCATTGGCGGTGTCGCCATTTGCCAACATGTTCCACTGCCAGACCATGTTCCGCAATCTGAGCAGAGCGCGCTGCGCGGCTTTGAGCGATGTGAAAGTGAAGTTAAGGCGTCTGTCATACTGTGCCGTCAGACAGAGGTATCGGAACGCCAACGGGTCTATACCCTGCGCCTCGATGTCAGACAGGATGAATGAGTTGCCCATCGACTTCGCCATCTTCACGCCGTCTGCAAGTAGGTGCTGCCCGTGCGTCCAGATGTTAACGACCTGCTCTCCGGCGTAGCCCTCGCTCTGCGCGATTTCGCCTTCGTGATGGGGGAAGATATTGTCCACGCCGCCGGTATGAATGTCGAATCGCGAGCCGAGATACTTGATTGACATGGCGGAGCATTCGATGTGCCAGCCCGGAAAGCCCTCTCCCCAGATGCTGGGCCACTTCAGTTCTCTGCCTTCCTCGGCAGCCTTCCAGAGCGTGAAATCGCGGGGGTCGCGCTTCAGCGGGTCGGCTTCGACACGAACCGCTTCCAGCAAATCCGCATCCGCAATATTACCTGAAAGCCTGCCGTAGCCGTCGAACTTACCCACCTCGTAATAGACATTGCCGCCTATTTCGTAAGCAAGCCCTCGCTCAACCAAGCGCTCGGTGATTTCCAGCATTTCCGGCACATGGTCGGTCGCCTTCGGAAACTCCTGTGCCGGTATGATGTTCAGCTTCTTCTCGTCGTTGAGAAACCTCTCCGTGTAGAACTCAGCAATCTGTGCAGGAGTCTTGCCCTCGGCTCTTGCGGCAGCGATGACCTTATCTCCGCCCTGCTCAAGCACTTCCTGACGCATATGGCCGACATCAGTGATGTTCTTGATATGAACGACATCCAGTCCGTTCAGTTCAAGCGTCCTGCGAATCCAGTCGGCCATCAGATACGACCGGAGATTCCCTATATGGGCGTCTCTGTACACAGTCGGACCACATGTGTACATCTTGACAATCCCGGGCTCTATTGGGCTTATCTCGTCAACTTGCTTGGACAGAGTGTTGTATAACCTAAGCACTTGCCTACTCCCTGCCATTTGCCGCCTGCTATTTTGCCGTATGATATGCAACCGATTTTACATCGGCGCTCTGCGATTGTCTAACGGGGCAAATTCTTGTCCATTTCAATGACCAGTCATCTACGAGTCGATGTTCATAGCGCGCAGCAGATTCGTGCTGCCTTGCACTCCCATAGGCAGACCCGCGACGAGCACTATGCAGTCCCCCGACCGCACTCCGGGAATCTTTCGCGCCTGCTCCTCGCCGATCTCAAAAAAGTCCTCGCCCGAGGTCAACTGCGGTACCATGACAGGTATCGTGCCCCAGTTAAGCGTGAGGCGGTTGCGTATGCGCTCGTAGGGAGTAAGGGCGAGTATTGAAGACTTCGGACGATATTTTGACACTCGGCCTGCGGTGCTCCCGCTCTCGGTAAACGCAACGATGAGTGCCGCGTCCAATTGGTGGGCTGTTCGCGCTGCAGCAAAACTGATGGCGTCGTCAGTACGCTGGTCCTCGGTCTGCTGCGACTTTGCCAGCAGGATATCCTCGTAGGGTAGTACGTGCTCGGTTTCTGCCGCCGTCTGCACCATGGCATGAACTGCGTCAATAGGATGTGCTCCTACTGAGGTCTCTCCAGAGAGCATTATTGCATCTGTGCCGTCGTATATGGCGTTGGCGACATCCGTGACTTCCGCCCGCGTGGGCATCTGGGAGCGCACCATCGATTCGAGCATCTGAGTCGCGGTGATTACCGGCTTGCCGGCCGCATTGCACTTGGCAATAAGGCTCTTCTGTATCACCGGGTATACGATATAGAGATACGTGGACGCCCATATCGCCTCGCGCTACCATTATGCTGTCGCTTGCATCAATAATTTTATCGATGTTGTTCAAAGCCTCAACAGATTCGATCTTGGAGATTATCAGGGGATCAGAATTAAGACGTTGCAGAATTCCACGCGCATTTTGCACGTCTTTGGCGGTGTTCACCATGGATAGGGCCACAAAGTCCGCACCCTGTTCCGCGGCAAATGCCAGACATCCCTTGGCATTCTCATCCAGGGAAGGTTGTGAAGGCGACCTACCGGGAGTGACCACGCCCCGGCGCTCGGTTACTCGACCGCCTGCCACTATCTTGCAGCGCACATCCTCGCCCTCAATCTTCTCAACAGTTAGTTTAAGCAAACCGTCGTCAAGTAGAATACTGCCACCTGCGATCGCGTCGCGATGAATGCCGGGCGGCCTTACAGATATGATCGTATCATCCCCGATGATGTCGCGACTTGTGAGCGTGAGAGAGTCGCCTTCCTTGATTTCAAGCACGCCGGCACGGTCGGGCCCGGTACGGTACTTGGGACCGGGCACATCGACCATTATGCCGACCGGCATTCCGAAGCGCCTGGATACTCGCCTCACCAAATCAAACGTCCTTTTGTGCGTCTCCAGGTCGCTATGTGACATGTTTAGGCGAGCGATGCTCATTCCTTCCCTGACCAGCGACTCGATCATCGCCTCGGACTCAGTCGCCGGTCCGAGAGTGCAGACAATCTTCGTCTTCGGGAATCTCTTGCTGATGTTGGGGGAGAGCATTCGGGGCAGGACCTCCGCAGTTACAAGACCGCATCTTAGCGGCACAGTCTTTACTTGGCGCCAGCCATCAAGGCAACAGCAGGCTTATCATACCAGTTTCCATTAACCCTGTGCATCAAGAAGGCTAAGCATAGCAATCTATCCAAAAGATAGGAACACGAATGCATCAAAGCAGAGACAAAGTTCAACAAAACTCCAAATGAGGACCGCGTTACACTATACATAAGAGAAGACCAGTGAATAAAGTTGTTATACCGCCGCAGGACTTTGTCCGCGCTTATCGTAATTTGCGAACTCTTTGAGACAGCGAGCTGTGTTGCTTAGAGAACTCTACACACTTCAGGAACTGGACTGGCTAAGAATCGAAAAACAGCAGGCGCTCGGCGAAGTGCGCGCCGAGCTTGCTGACAATTCTAGCCTTAGCCGTGCGCGCCTACGCCTTGGGCGACTCGAAGCACAGCACATCCACCAGAGTGCCCTCAGACGTGACGCACAACTGGTAGTTGAGCAACTCGAGACACGGGAGCAGTTAGTTGAAGGTCGACTCTACGGCGGCGGCGTCACTAACCCTCGCGAGCTTGAAGCGTTCCAAGAACAACAACAGATACTGCTCCGCCAGAAGGCCGAAGCGGAGGATGTGCTTCTGGAGCACATGGTGGCGACTGAAGAGCTGCAAGAAGCCCGTGACCGGAGCGCGTGAATCCGTCTCCACGCTTGAAGAGGAACGGGGGCAACGTCTGCCAATACTCCACGAACAGGAACAAAATTTGAGCGCCGAGCTAGAAGAATTGGAGCGGAGACGCTCCGCACTGGTGCCGCAATTCAGCCCGCAAATACTATCCACATACGAGACGCTGCTCGCAAGCCGAGGTGGGCACGCGGTAAGCAGGGTGGAATCTGCGAGGGGTAGGGACATCTGCGGAGCATGTCGGGTCGCACTCCCCAGGTCGGACACGCAGCGACTGAGAATCGGCGAGTCGCTTGTGCAGTGCAACAACTGCCGTCGCATATTATATATGGAATAGAGATACCATGCGCGCAATTGGATACTACAGACTAATCGATGATGAGCGAGAAGATCTCCCCGAGGCTCTTGAAGAGCGCTTCGAGGAGTATTGTGAACGCTACCTCCACCAGTCAGTTGCCATCTTTGGTGACTTGCGGGCCGCAGCCTCAAATGGGAACGGGAATCACAATGGAAATGGGATTCATAACGGGAACGGTAGTGAAAGGCACATTTTTCCCGAATACGGTCGTATGTTGGAGCACATCGTTAATTCCAACAGCAATTTCCTTGTAGTCGTGCCCGATACCACACATCTCGGAAGCAACCTTGAAGAGGTCGTGCGAACGATTATCGAGATTGAGGCGACAGGATGCAAAGTTATCTGTGAGGACGATAACCTACCTGACCCGCTGCAGAATGCCCTCGACTCTTTGGGTCCTGCAGGCGTGTCCAAAGCTCGGAGCGAGCGCATTAAGGACTCCATGCGCAAGCGAGCCATGCTCGGCAAAGGGCTTGGCAAGCCACCCTTTGGCTACCGAAATGGAGAAGACGGCATGCTCGAAGTCGTTGAAGTGGAGGCATCGACCGTCAGGCTATCTACGACAAGTACATCAACGAGGGGCTGGGACTTCGGCTCATCGCACAGTACCTGAACGAACACAACATCAAGACGCGGCGCGGCGGCAGATGGAACATGGTCACTATCCGTGACATCCTCCGAAACCCGACTTACACGGGCACCTACTACCGCTTCGGGCTTCGCCTGCCCAAGGTTCATGAGGCGATAATCAGCCCTCAGCTATTTCGCAGGGCACAGGACCAGACCAAGGCGCGACGACCGTCTTCAAGGTCGGTGAACACTGAACCTTTCCTTCTATCCGGATTAGCATTCTGCGGCTACTGTGGCAATAAAATGATGGGTGTCACGAGAAGGCAGTCTTGGCGCCGCAAGGACGGCAATAGCGCGCGGGGCGTTTACCGATACTACCAGTGCCAAAGCCGCAACAATCAGAGCCTCTGTGGATATCACACTTGGCGTGCCCCTGTTCTGGAATCCGCTGTCCTGTCGCACCTTCACGACTCGCTCAATAGCGGCGGCGATACGGCTGCTGCCAACAACGTACCGGAGCAGGCCAATGTCAAGGTTCAAGAAATATGGGACAAGCGAATCAAGAACGCCGAACGTCGCTTCCTCCTGAACCTGAAGCGTGCGGCGCGGGGTGAATTTGGTCTCGGCGCTGTGCGAGACCATCTCAGGCAGTTGGACAACGCGCGAACCAGTGCCACAACCTGGGATCGCCACTGGGATGTGCAGGACACAATCGCAAACTGGGATACCTTCAGCTTTGAGGAGCAACAGGCGTTCCTGCTCCTGCACATCTCCAAGATTGTGGTTCACGATGATTCGGTCGAAGTATTATCTTAGCGCTGAGAATGTAAATCTCCACGTTCTTCGGCGGTCTGCGATTAGAGATTAACTTCGCGCTTGCCCATTGCCTCTTCGTATCGATCTGGCTGTATGCTGGTTGAACCCGGCCGTCCTTGCGACTTATATCCCTCTTGCCATACTGTTGCGACACCAATTGGCTTCGACAGTCAATGTTACAATGGATGCTACCAAGGAGGCTGGGCGACCGCTGTCCCGTTTTATGGCGGGAGAGAGGAAAGTCCGAGCTCCACCGGGCAGGATACCCGCTAACGGCGGGGCGGGGCGACCCGACGGACAGTGCCACAGAGACATACCGCCGCGACTTTATGCCGCGGTAAGGGTGAAAAGGTGCGGTAAGAGCGCACCGCTTCGGTGGTAACATCGGAGGTCCAGGCAAACCCTATCCGGAGCAAGGCCTAATAGGGGGATTACGGGCGCCCAGCCTTTCCCCGGGTTGGCCGCATGACCTTGTCGGCAACGTCAAGGCTAGATAGATGGTCGCCACCGGGCACGCAAAGAGCGCGTCCGGCACAGAACTCGGCTTACAGGCCTCCTTGGTAATCTTTGATACTGTGGACCACACTCAGCATCGCGGAGGTTCAACTCTTGACATTTCAGAGGTTTCGCAGCAACGACGGGGATAACGCGACATCACGACTACAACACTTTGATACAATACCGCACGCCACGAACGAGTCTCAGCACCCACCATCCTCGCACCATTAGCGCGCCTCCAGCGAAAATATGAATCCTCATCTCATAGCGGAGAAGGCAATTGAAGATTACCGACGTAAGAATAGAAGTTGTCAGGCGCACTCTGCCGGATACCGGTTTGGACTCCGATCTTGGCCGCTTTTTCGGCGAAGTCGAGCAGGGCGTTTTGCGAATCTTGACCGATGAGGGCATCGAGGGCAACTGCTTCGTCGGAGACTTCAGGGGCGGTGGACACGGGCAGTTCGGGCCCATCCTCAATGTGCTGAAGCCCGAGATTGTCGGGCGAGATCCGTTTGAGCGCGAGCGTCTGTGGAATCGTCTTCCGATTCTCAGCGGACGGCGCGGACTGACCATGAATGCGTGGGCGCCGGTAGACGTCGCCTTGTGGGACATCGCCGGCAAGGCAGCCGGTGTGCCAGTTTACAGACTGCTGGGAGCCAGCCGCGACGAGACTGAGGTCTATGCCACTTACCCGCCGCGTCATGTGAATCCGGAAGGCTACTTGGCAGAGGCACGTCAGATACAGGAAGCCGGATTCCGCGCTTATAAGATTCACCCCGGCGTCATGGGCACCACCGATGCCATTACAATGATGGCTGGTGTCCGAGACATCGTCGGCGATGACATGGAGCTTATGCTCGATCCCAATAACGGCTACGACTTCCGTAAAGCCTTGGCGGTGGGAAGCGCCGCTGACGACCTCGGGTTCTACTGGTACGAAGACCCGATTCCGCCTCACGAATACGACAACATTGCCGAACTCAGCAGACGTCTTATCACCCGATTTGCATGAGCGACAAACCTGAGAACCAATTCCAGGCCGGCTATCATTACATCCGCCTCAAGGCGCTGAGGCTCGTGCGCGGCACGGCACGGAAGCTCGGCATCACGGGACTGAAGAAGCTGTGTTCTATGGCTGAAGGATTCGGCATTAACTGCGAGATCGGCACGGCTGGCAACTCGCTGTTGAACATAGCCAATCTTCATGTAATCTGCTCAGTGCAGAACTGTGCGTACTACGAATACTGGATGCCCACGGAGGCGCACCAGTTCGGCTTGGTCGAGGACATATCGCTCAACGAGCGGGGCATTCTGGAAGCGCCCGATGCGCCGGGCCTAGGCTTCGCGCTCGATTGGGATTGGATTAGCTCCCATCGCGTTGCGACCCTGGACTAAGGACGATTCCATCTCCTGATGTGTGTGTAGCGTAACTGCACGGTTGCATCGGAGCATGATAGCGGTATGGCGTGTGCTACTTCCCTGAATGTCGCGGACTTGTGTAGTCCGGGTTAGCTGATTACAGGATCGGTTTGTCCAGAATGGCGCCACTACACTGCCCTGTTTAGATCGGCGCTCCGTCCAAGGCTCACGCATAGTCGGTGAGATTACACTACGATCGTGCTATCCACTATGGTCTCGGCTTTCGCTCGATCGTCTGCGGACAGTGCCACCAAGGCGTGTCCGTTTCTGCGGTCGATAATGTGAAGGCTCTGTATGTTCACGCCCGCATTCTTGAATCTCTCCGCCACCTTTGCGAGGGCGCCCGGCTCATCCGGGAGCCTGATTACCAGCGACTCGTCCGACACCGTCTTGAAGCCGGCATGCGTCAGAACCCGTAGCGCGTCATCGTAGGCATCAGTAGTAAGGGTTATGACACCCTTCTCGCATAGCCCTTCGGCGCTTATGGTCTCTATGTTGATCCCCTCGTCGGCGAGTGCCTTGCTTATGTCTGCTATAACGCCAACTTCGTTCTTTGCCATCACAATAATTCTGTTCATTATCACAATCATTCTCCCGTGCTTGGGTTTGTCTGTTGGCTGCGTAAACAGTCATCAACTACCCTATCTATGATCTCACGCGTCACATGGGGCATAGCTATGAGATGGGCGATGTCTTCGTAAGGAGCGAGTTGCCACCTTCGAATCACTTCCTCTGACGGCCTGGGAAAGACGACCGTGACCGAGTTCCTGTTCCGCCAAGCTGGGATGCCGCTGTCATTGAAGCGGGAGACGGCATACTCCGCGACGGAGATACACTCTCCTACGATTTCACGGAAACCGTCCAGTCCATGCTGCTCAAAGGCGTACCATAGCATTAGCGGTGTGATTGCGTTGCGCGATCCCGTCAGAGTAGTGTCCAGTACACCCACGTACTCTATCGACCGCGCAATGCGTCCGACATATTCGCGCTTTGTCAGAGCCACGCCACAGGGCATCGGCGACCCGATCATCTTGTGCCCACTCACCGCGACGCTGTCGAAGCCTGCGTCAAATCCATAAGGCTGCGGCTCATCCACGAAGGGTAGAACCATTCCGCTCAGCGCGGCGTCGGCGTGTATGTAAAAGTTTGTAATCACCAGGTCGTCGAGAATCTTTCGCACCCTGCCGACATCGTCCACCGCCCCCTTCATCGTGGTTCCTATGTTCGCAATGAAGATTACGGGCGAGTCGCGATTGATTCTGATCGTCTCATAAAGATCTTCGTAGTCTATTTCTCCGCTGTCCTGGCTCTTGATCATTATGTTGCGCGACTTCAGAACACGCAGAATCTTGACCACACTGTAATGAGTATCCTGTGAGAAGTACACAACGCCGTCAGGAAACATCTCGCGGCCAATGTACAACCCATACATGTTCCCCTCGGTGCCGCCGGAGGTAACATACCCCCAGGCATCATCCCGCGATAGGTGCATCATATCGGCGAACAGACCCACGACTTCACGCTCCATCTCGTGGGTGTTGCTGCGGAAATTGCTGTCGTGGAAAGGGTCGCCCACATTGTTGGGGCAGTAGCTCAAGAAGGGCAGCAGCGCCGAGTAGTCGAAGTTCTGGTTGCAAGGATAGCCTACCTGTTGGAGCTTCAGTGATTCGAAGTCGCGCAGCAGGCCATTGAGCCGTTCCTGAGTCTGAGTATTCACTTCGGTCACCTCCGTCCTGTCATCTCCAACACGCACATATTCAGCTCTGTAGCGCACATCATGTGCAAGATAAGATGCTGTAATACCATGTTAGCACGTATCCGCGGGCTATCCAGCAACACCACCCTACCCGTCTCTGCAAGAAAGATTATCCCCGGTTGACAAAGCGTACATTTGTTCGCTACACTCTACCACGTATCATCTTGCATCACAACACATCAACGGAGGCGATATGAGGATTGCCTGCGTGCTCATCACACATCTGAGAGCCAAGGCGGAACTGCAAAGACACGCACACCTGAAAGACAGCCAAATAGCCGTAGTGGACAGAACATACGGGAAGCCCCTGGTAGTTGATAGCTCCGCAGGGGCCTCCGCAAGGGCTGGAATGACTCTGGAACAGGCCATGTCCTGCCACAACGGTCTCATTATACTCGATGCGGACGAGCCGTACTACCGGCGTGTCTTCGACGAGGCGATCAATGCGCTGCTTCAGGTAAGCGACCGTGTTGAGTCCGCAGAACTTGGCACAGCCTACGCGCGTCTGGACGGGCTGGAACTGCTGCACGGAGGCGAGGCGGATGTCGCGGCTGCGCTGCTTAACGCCGTTCCCGCCCACCTTGGCGCGCGTGTCGGCGTAGGCGACTCGAAGTTCACGTCGTACATAGCAGCACGGACCGCCAAGTCACTGGGAACTGCCATCTGCCCGGCAGATACTGTCGGCTTTCTCGCGCCCATGTCCATCGAGCTTCTCCCGTTGTCCGACGATTTGAAGGGCTCGCTGCACAGCTTCGGCGTCCACTATATGGGTCAGGTGGCTTCTCTTTCACGCGATATACTGACCGACCGCTTCGGACGCGAAGGCAGTCTCGCGTGGGAACTGTGCAGCGGCATAGACCGGCGCCCCGTAGTCCCCATAAAGCAGACAGCGTCAATCGTTGAGTATGCTTCCCTGCCGTTCTCATCAACTTCCATCGAGTTGCTTCTGGTAACAGCGGACATTCTGCTGCAACGTGCATACGGCAGACCCCAACTGCGGCGCAGGCTGGTTAGCTTGATCACGCTCGCCTCAACCGTGCTGGACGCTGCTCCCTGGGCGCAGACTATCCGATTCAAAGAGCCTGTGGGCGACTGGAAGAACGCATCTCAACTGATCAGAGATCGACTTGAGGCACATCCACCCGATGCTCCTCTGGAAGACTTGACGCTCACTTTAGAAGAACTGAGTGGAGATGCAGGCAGGCAGCTAGGACTGCTGGAAGACGCGAGAGACAGAAGGCACGGCAGGATAGCGGATATAGACAAGAAACTCCGGACGCGAATGAAAAGCATGCCTGCGCTCCATCGCGTAATAGAAGTCGCGCCTTGGCATCCCGTGCCCGAGATGCGCGCGCTGAAGGTCCCTGTGGACGCATCCGCCGATGACGCCTTCACATCTCTACACTCGCCGCTTGCCGTAACCGTGCACGAAGGTGAGGCTCATCGCCCATTAGAAGTCCGGCTGAAGAAAGGCTGGCACAGGATAGATAGAATAGACGACCTGTGGCGCTTCGATCTGTGGTGGCTGCCCACGCCAGTAACGCGCAGCTACTTCAGCGTTACGGATGTCGTGGGGCAGCGTCTGGTGCTGTTCAGGGACGAGCACGACGGCTGCTGGTACAGGCAGCCTCTGTCGGCAGCATAAGGATGTGGTCTTGTCATGCCGGCAAAATACGCAGAACTTCACTGCAAGAGCTTCTACTCATTCGGACAGGGTGCGTCTCATGTCCACGAACTCCTCGCGCTCGCAGCCGAGTACGGCTATCCGGCGCTCGCCCTGACGGACACAAACCTGTGCGGCGCGCTGGAGTTCGCGCGTCTCGCCAACAGCCTCGGAATAAAGCCCGTTAGCGGATGCGAACTCACGCTTACCGATAACAGCCGTCTGACCCTACTTGCCAGAACACGTGAAGGCTACGCCAATATATCGCAGCTGCTCACACTCGCGAATAGCCTTGACCGCCGCGAGCCGCGCCTTGATCCGTCATACCTGCCAGCGCACGCCGAGGGAACCGTACTGCTTACGGGCGGACGCGACAGTCTTATATCTCGTCTGATGCAGCAGGGGCGGCAATCCGAAGCGCTGGCACAACTGCGACGGTACATGGACTGGTACGGCTCCGACTGCGTGTACATAGAACTCCAGCAGAATTTCCTACATGGGGATACGAAGCGCAACAGGCAGCTTGTGAGTATCGCGCAGGAGGTCGGTACATCCCTTGTAGCAACGAATGATGTACTCTACCACAGCTCGCAGCGATACAAACTCCAGCACGCGCTCGTCGCAGCCGCGCACAACACCACCATAGACCGCGCCCTGCGGCATATCAGACCCAACGACCAGTTCTATCTCAAGTCGGCTGAGCAGATGCAACGGCTGTTTCGCCACTGTCCCGAAGCGATAGGCAACACCTTGCGAATCGCGGATAGCTGCGACTTCAATCTCGACACCGACTTGGGATACTGCCTGCCCGACGCCGATGTACCGGACGGCTACACATCCCAGACATACCTCGAAAGGCTATGCTACGAAGCCGCCGTGCGGCGCTATGGCTCGGTAACGGAACAAGTGGAGAAGCGCCTGCGTGAAGAGTTCAGGCTCATAGAGATTCACGGCATGGCAGGCTTTCTGCTTCTCTACCGCGAGATTGCGCTTATAGCGCGGAAGATAGCGGAGGAGCGAGGTCTGGTAAGTCCCGAAGTGCCGCTGGAGAGCAGGCCTCCGGGCAGAGGACGCGGCTCATCCGTCGCGCTGCTCGTGGGTTACCTCATCGGCATCAGCCACATTGACCCGCTCAGCTGGAATCTCAGTCTGGAACGCTTCATCTCGGAGGATGTCGGAACCCTGCCCGACATAGACCTGGACTTCCCAAGAAGCATCCGTGATGCACTGATAGAGCGCGTTCATCAGCGCTTCGGACCGGAGCGCGCCGTGCTTGCGGGGGCAATCGGCACATACAGGCTGAAGGGCGTCATCCAAGACCTCGGAAAGGCGCTGGGACTGCCGCGTGAGCAGTTGAAACTACTGTCGAAGCAGGGGCTATCGGGCGATGCCGCGCTTCTGGGAGATGAGATGCGACAGCTGCCCGACTTCAGAGACAGGGCGGACGCCCCGGGTTGGAAAATGCTGGCGGAACTTGCGCCGCAGCTTATCGGCGCCCCCCGCTCACTGGGCCAGCATGTGGGCGGGATGGTGCTGAGCAGTTCGCCCATTCCCGAGATGGTGCCCGTAAGAGCGGGAGCGACCGATGGACGCTACATAATGGACTGGAACAAGGACAGCGTTCAGGACGCCGGCTTCGCCAAGATAGACATCCTCTCCCTGCCGGTGCTCGATCAGATAGAAGAGGCGCTTGACCTCGTCGAGAAACGCACGGGCGCGCGTCCCGACCTGAGTAGGATAGACCCCGAAGACACTGCCGTGTACGACATGATAAACACCGGCAACTCGAAAGGAGTGTTTCTATGCAATCTCCCGCGCAGCTCAAGATAGCCCAGCGGCTGCGCTCCCGCAACTTGCTCGACCTGGCGTATCAGGTCGCGCTCATACGTCCCGGCGTAGGCATGCAGGGTAGCGCGGTCTCACAGTTCATAGACCGCTATCGCCACGGCGTCGAGTGGAACTACGACCACAAATTGGAAGAGCGCGCCCTGAAACGAGGCTGGGGCATCATAGTCTGGCAGGAGCAAGTGGTGCAGTTGTTGATGGACGTGGGAGGGATGAGCGCTGCGCAAGCGGACGAGGTCCGTCGCGCCTTCGCTAGACCCAACAACGAACACCTGATAGAGACGCACTGGCAGCGCTTTCGGGATGGCGCGCGCAAGAACGACGTTTCAGATGATGTGGCGAAAAAAGTGTTCGGCAAGGTGAACGGGCACTACATGTTCCCCGAGTCTCACAGCCACGCATTCTCCATAACCGCATATCAGGCAGCGTGGCTCAAGCGGTACCACCCGACCGAGTTCTTCGTGGCGCTTATGAACAACCAGCCGATGGGCTTCTATCCCATAGAGACGCTGAAGCAGGATGCCAGGCGCTTCGCCGTGCCGTTCCTCAACCCCTGCGTGAACCGCTCTGAGGCAAAGTGTACTCAGCTAGGCAAGTCCGTGCTGCTGGGTCTGAGATTCATCAAAGATGTGGGAGAAGCGGGTGCCGGCGCTATCATCCGGGAACGGAAGCGTGGCGGCGCATACACCAATGCGGGCGACCTCGTGAGACGCACGGGTCTGAAGCCGCAGGCGGTGGAATCGCTGGTTATGGCCGGAGCGTTCGACACCATCGCCCCCAACCGTAAGCAGTCACTATGGGAGGCAGGTCTGCATTCCCGTCCGGGCAGGAACGGACAGGCTGCGCTGCCCGCTTCAATGGATGCAAGTGTCCCGCGCCTTGCAGACTTCACGGATGCTCAGAAGATGGCAGCTGAGTACGCCGTAATGGGCATATACCCACGAGGACACCTGATGCAGTTCGTCAGACCCACGCTTGCGCCGGAAGTGCTAACCTGCGCCGAAGTGGAGAGGTTGGACGACGGCGCGCCTGTGCTAGTGGCAGGCTGGCCCGTTGCGAGGCAGCACCCCAAGGGCAAAGACGGCACGATATTTGTCACTATCGAGGACGAGACCGGCGATACTCAGGTCATCCTCTGGGCGGATATATACAAGCGCTACCGCAGAGAACTCGGCAGTCAGGTCGTCCTGGTCGCAGGCGAACTATCGCGCTATGACGGCACCGCGAACATCATAGTCTCCGAGGTGCGGGCGCTGCGCTCCGGCGTGCGAATGCCGCGCTCCCATGACTGGCACTGATTACATCGCACACAAAGACGAACCGGATACACCTGCCACTACCGTGCTCGATACGGCTATAATTTCTAGAGACAGACAAAGAAAAAGGAGGGCTCCCATGTGCGGGAGATTCGGACTCTTTCCAGAACTAGACGCACTTGCCGAGCAGTTCAACTTCGACCCTTCGATAATGCATGACATCTATCATCCACGCTGGAACATCCCCCCGACAGCGTCGGTGTTGACCATTCATAAAGACTCACAAGAAAGCATTCCCAGCAAGAACAGCGCAAGACTCCTGCGCTGGGGAATGGCGGGTGCACGGAGCAATAAGACATCAAAAGTAAGCCGTCCCCTGTTCAACGCACGCGCTGAAACCGTGCACAAGCTGCCGTCGTTTCGTGAGGCGTTTAGGGGTCGCCGATGCCTAATCCCCGCAAGCGGCTTCTACGAGTGGGAAAAGGATTCATCCGGTAAAAGGACGCCGATGTGGTTTGAGCGCAAGGACGATGCACCGGTGGCATTCGCCGGAATCTGGTCGAGCGAAAGAACGCCGGACGGCGACATCGACTCTTGTGCCATCATCACCTGCGCCGCCAACAATCTTGTCGCGCCCATCCATCATCGGATGCCCGTCATCCTCTCGCCGGACACCTATCACCAATGGCTCGGTGAAGATGAGGATTCCGACGCCCTGCTCGCGCTGCTGCAAACACAGGAATGGCACGAAATCTCGTACCATCTGGTATCCAGCGAAGTCAACCGCGCCGCCAACGACTATCCGTCACTCATCGAGCGCGCAAGCCAGGAATTACAGTTTGATTTAATAAGCGCCGCACCCTGCTGAGAAGACCTTCAAGCAAGCGCAACAACTGGTCTTCCACTCGCCTGAAAACCTCGAAAAATTCATGTACAACACAAGTATGGTCGTAGTACAATGGAGGTAGTGATGGTAAACAATTCGCCTGTTTTAGGGGAATTGCATCAAGTCGTGGCGCGCGCATTCCAATGCACGATGCCGCTGAAGACCAGACAGGCAGTGGCAGAAACCCAACTCCGCACGCCAATCCGGTTCCAAAAGTTCGCAGGAGCGTAGCTCAGCTTGGTAGAGCATCGGTCTCCAAAACCGAGTGTCGCGGGTTCAAATCCTGCCGCTCCTGCCACTTCCCCACCCACTCCACCATTCCACACACCCTTTCCGCCACAGCGCCACGGCCGGCCGATCTCGCCTCACACCTTTTGACAGACAGGTACGCCTAAAATGTAAGCTGAGGATGTGAAGCTGCCCGGCGAGGATTCGAACCTCGGTCAAAGGAGCCAAAGTCCTTTGTGCTACCACTACACCACCGGGCATCGAGGAAATAGCGCGTCCCTGATTTGCACTCAGCTCCGCCGTCTCACATGGTCTTCCCTGCGAAGGACACGCTTCTCTAAATATAGCGTATTGCAATAGCATAAACCAGTAAATTCGCGCGCTGGCTAGTGGTTTGGTGTTGCGTGCATTACTACCCCACCCCACATGCGGCTCGAAGGATAAATAAGCCGGTTGGCGAGTCCTTTCCCACTACAAGGCCGCAACAGCAATGTGAGGCGTCAGTTGACCAACGCAATCGCAGTCGAAAACATTCAGCGGATGGCAACGCGAATACGCGAAAATGTCCAGCGCGTTATCGTGGGCAAAGACGAACCCATCAATCTCGCCATCATCGCCTTGCTGTGTCGCGGGCATATACTGGTTGAGGACGCGCCGGGCATCGGGAAGACCACTCTTGCAAAGGCGCTGGCTCAGTCGCTGCAATGCACCTTCAAGCGCATCCAGTTCACGCCGGACCTGATGCCGACCGATGTGCTGGGCGTGAACTTCTACAATCAGCGAACCGGCGACTTTCAGTTTCGCGGCGGTCCGATATTCAGCCAGATGCTGCTCGCAGACGAGATAAACCGCGCCACTCCGCGCACGCAGTCGTCTCTCCTCGAAGCCATGCAGGAACGGCAAGCTACCGTCGATGGCGAAACCAGGCCCCTCCCGGAGCCGTTCCTCGTAATGGCTACGCAGAACCCCATAGAAATGGAAGGGACATTTCCGCTGCCCGAGGCGCAACTCGACAGGTTCATGCTTCGCATACGGCTCGGATACCCAACCCCAGAGGAGGAATCGGACATACTTCTGCGCTTCGAACGCGATTTCGAGCCGCCGGAGATTGATGCGGTCATAGACGCCGCAGAACTGTCAGAAATGCAGGCACTGGTCAATCAAGTTCTGGTGGACGATGCGGTGCGGATGTACACATCGTTCTGACATCATCGCATCCTCTCGCAGCAATCAATCCCTGCCTCACCTATGCGCGAGCCTCGCGCATGGACTTCGCGCTCTATAAGACAATCGCGGCGCGCGCCGCCCTCAATGGGCGCGATTTCGTCACTCCGGACGCACGTTAAGGATCGCCTTGCCCTTGCTCTCTGTCACTCGTCGCTCCTCTCTCACCGACTGATTGTCGCTCCACGCCCGCCTGATGGACTCACTGCGGACAGTCTTGCGCGAATTCTCGCCGCGCTGTCTCGTGCTATCGAAAGGTAGCCCCATGCTGAGCCAGAATGTGCGCAATTGAGTTCTATTGATTCTCATTTTCGTTTTTCGTTCGTGCTGGTCATCATCGTTGTCCTGTCTTCGCGGGCGAGGTGCTGCTCATTGGCTTCAGCGTATGGGCTTGCTGGGTGTAGGCACGGCGAG